AGATAAAGAATAAAATAAAATATTAAAAACATGATGTATCTCGCTGCATTGCGCGAGTACGCTTCTAGTATATTACTTATACCTACTGCTTTTTAAACATTTAACTTTGAACTTAAAAAAACATAAATTGATGAACAAATAATAAACACTAATTATCTTCATTTGTTTGTTCTTCTTAACACGAAAACCCATTTTCACAGAAATTCTGAATCGTAGCAAATGATGTTTACCAGAAGGCGTTGTTGCCAGAAGGGAAGAGGAGATCGGTGAACCTTCTAGTAGCTTCCATTGTCGCACCATTTTCAATTCCGAAATACTCCCAAAGAGGCATGGATGAGTAGTTTCCGTATCCGAATCCAAGGATTTCAGAAGTGTTCTTAATCTTCGTTTCATTTGGTAGATTAAACAGGTCTTTTGAGAGCTCGAAAATGGCGTCACGTAGATCCGACGGAATTTTATCTGTAGCTACGACGAAACAACCGTCGTCTTCCAGGGCTAGCCGGACGGCGTCAGATGTTGATCGCCAGCCATCGCTGCTACGGTTTAGGGTTTGTGTGTTGAAGGTTATGGTCTGAAGCTTCGATTTGGGAGCCATTGCTGGTATCTTCCCTTTTGTAACCAATTCTGACAACTATATACATATATATGGAAGGATTTTGAATTTTTAGGGTTGTTTGTTTACCTCTTAATAGTTTTATTAAGAGTCAATTTCTGAATCGTTAAGAGCTGAATCTTGTTTGGCAAAAAAGAAATCTACCTTTTAATTGTTCTAAAACCCTTTTAATTATTTTGTATCATGATCTCCCTTAACCATTAAGAACCCTAATTTCATTGGAAATAATTACCAAACAATTATATTCCATTTTACACTATATCATAAGAATCTTTTAATCATTCTATCACTTAATAATTCTATACAAAACCATTCAGCAACTGTCAAACATGCCCTAACTATCTTCTTTTGATTTATTAAACGGACTAGAAATTTTTGTTAAAGGGTAAAATAGTCATTTACGTTATTTAGACCGATTGAAAAGGGTTGTATGTTAGCCGTTTAACGAGTTTAATAAGATTAGAGCTTATTCGATCAGTTATGCACGATTATTCAGTATTAGCTTAATGGTATTAAAATTGGTTTATTCAACAAACTTTTAGAAGAAACTTTATACAGTTATACAAGTTTTTTTTCCTAAACTTCATCCCCTCCAATTAATTAAATATTTCCTTCCTATACACATAGATTAATCTAGGGTGTAAATGATACTAGACAACTCGCGAGCTACACAAGATCGACTCGGTCAACACGAGATCAAGAGTCGAGTATATTGTTACTCGAACTTGACTTGCATCATTTATACCTTTAGAGTCCATGGAAACAACTTTAACGATAGAGGACTTGATAAAAAACACCAACCAAAAACTTTTAGTACGTATGATGATAGAGCATTAATTTAGGATAATCCATACAACAACAAAAAACTTAAAAAATCTCACGTAGGGCCGTTTTTTAGCATGTTAAATGTGAGATTTTGAACAGGACTCCCGAAATTTTGGGGCCCAATTTACATGTATTTAGGTATTTTTATTGACATGTGTAAAACTTTAGTTGAAATTATTTTGATTCAAACCATTAATTATTTGGTTTTAGAGTCAAATCATTAATGGTTTAGGTTTAGATTCAGATTGTTAACCGTTTTAGGTTTAACCCATTTTTATTCTTAACATATATTCTTAGTCATCTCATTTATGCAATGTAATTAAAATTTATGAATGCAGCAGGGGCCTCCAAAAAGATTGGAACGTCCTTATCTCATGAAAGGATGAAATCCCACTAAAAAGACATCAAACGACTTTATAGGCTTTTGATCCATCTTAAAAGTACACTCGTTCAGAAAAAAAAAATCTTAGATCTGTTACAATAAGACCCAATGAGTATTGGCTACCTGGACATATATTAGAACATCTCCAAAATGCAGAATCAAAAGTTTAAACCTTTAACAAAAAGTTACATTTGTCTCTAACAGATTCTTTATTTTGGATCCAACATTGATTATAATATTAAAATATTATTTCTTTCTCTAAATCATTATTTTCGTAGTTTTTTTATTAATAAATTATATTAAAAAATATTTATCTCACATGGTAATTATTTTGAGGTTAAGGTTATTTGTTTACCTCTTAATGGTTTTATTAAGAGACAACCTCTGAATAAGAGGTGAATCTTGTTTGGTAAAAAAAAAACTATGTCTCTTAATAGTTATAAAACATTTTGAATGATTTTGTATCCTGACTTTTCCTTAACCATTCAACGCCCTACTTTTATTGCAAACAATTACCAAACAATTATATTTTATTTTACACTATATCATAAGAATCTTTAAATCATTCTGCATCAAACCATTTAAAATCTCTATTTTTTTTATTTTCTCTTTTATTAAAAAATTTGTTATAGATGCTTTTGCCAAAAGCGTGCTAATGAATTAAGCTACAAATCTATTAAATTAAACTTAAAATCAAGGCCTCCAAATCGAAGCTCCATATCTGGATTTTCCCACTCTGTTTGCAATTCTTCAAAACCCTTGGTTAGTTTATTGATTTACGATTTTGTGTTAGGTGATTCAGTTAAAATCGTTTGATGATCAGGCATCGAGCTCACCTGGAGGAAAACCTGATGATTGCTACAGGTTTGTGTGTTCTTCATTTTGATCTCTAATGAATTATGTCGATTCTTATTACATCACTAACTTGATGGATCACGTTTCAATTTGGCTATGTTTTGTTCGATTCTCGATTCATTTATTTGATTTTGAGTTGTTTTGATTCTTTACAATGATACATAGAGTATGATTTAGGTATTTTAGATGAAATCAGGTCGTTTTGTTGCTCATTAAGCTTGTTTTTGGTTTTAATGACGGTGATGAAAGTCTGATTTCAGTTCTTACTGATTGGAGGTAGTATTGAAATCTGGAAGTGGAATCAATGACACTGTTTTTGTAAACTGATGTGTGATTTAAGAAATGTTTTTGATAATTGCATCATTGTGCATCAATATCAACACCTGGCACCACATGAGTCATCAACAACGATGAAAATACTAACTTATGACTTGATTTTTAAGACGATGATGTTGGTGTTTTCCTAGCTCCACTAAAACACCTAATGTTGTCTCTTCTTATCGTTTGATCTTATCTGATGATTATTTGCGAATAAACTGCAAGTTGATCATAATTAATTTCATGATTTCATTTTCTAGGTTGTAAGATAATCTGTTTTCTATCGTGTCCTCTTCTTTGATGTTTCAGTATGTATATTATATGCTTCCCATTTGCGTTTCTTAATTACCGGCCATATATATATATATATAACTATATGATATCCATTGTCTATATGTAATGGTCCCCTAAAACCATCCTTGTATTAACCGGACCAAAATGGTCCCGAAGTGTGGAAAGGGAAAGACTCAAAGATGCAATCATGATGCTCTTTCTTTGAACAGGTAAAAGCTAAATTATAGTTTGATACTAATAAGGTATACAACAAGGGTGGTGCCTGATTGGTTTAAGCTTGGCTCCAAAGGTCAAAAGTACCTGGAGGTCCAGGTTCAAATCCAAGAAGGAATAAAAATCCCCTAGTGGCCACGGAGGTTCAACTGTGGTGACTCCAGGCTATTTGTAAAGCAGGTGGTCGCCCTGGGATTAGTCGGCTCACATAGCGTATTTCTTTTGAGATTGTTTATGTGTTTATAGGAACCGAACTTTCAAAGTTCTGCTGCTGTTTAATACTTCAGAAGTTAGGGGAGACGGTTAATTGTACCTAATCATATCTTCCCTATTAGTAAAATTATTATCGATGCATTTGGAAGTTCAACTCTCTTCTACTCTTCATCCTTCGTTTTCATGAATAAACATCTTCATTTGATGAAGAATGATAAGTAATCTCTTATTTAACCATGAGGGATAGCTCAACCGGCACATAAAGGCTAGGCCATGGGGCTCCTCCCCATAGGTCGCTAGTTCGGGTCTCCTTAAAGCCATTGAAGATTTTATTGGCTGTTATCTTTAAGGCCCAATGAATTAGTAGAGGTGCACGTAAGCCCCGGACACCCAAAAAAAAATGGGCTCTATAACAAGAATCTAAAAAAGTAAATAGATGATGATGCTATGTAATAGAATCGTTTTTCTTATTCGCTCTAGCTTCAAGCATCTAAGAAGGTAAACAGTAATTGCTATTTATTCATCTAGTTTTGGCCCAACGGTATCCCGGTTACCGGTGAGGTGAGGAATGTATTTGTATTATATAAAAATTATATACTTCAAAAAAAAAATTAAATAATTAATAAGTAATCAGAAGAATTGTGTTTTTTTGTGTAATTGATGTGATCATATTCATATAAGAAATCCTTATTGTAGATCAGTAAAACCCATGCCTATGCTTTCTTAGGGTCTTTGATACCTGTGAAAGAATTTTTGTGGGATTTGGATTTCGTGAAAGAATTTAGAGTCTTTGATATCTGTGGTTTGTAGGATTTGGAATTGAATTGAATTTCATTCTTTATAGATAATTTATAAAAAGAAAAGTTATAAATAATTATAAAAATAATTAAATTACCTTTTTATCAATCGATTATTACAAAACAAACGTATTTAACATATTTTAAAACATTATTACAAACAAATCTTATAAGACCATTTAAAATACCAACTACCCTGTTTATGGGATTTCATTAAAATCCTGGGGTTTTCAATTCCGGACTTTCCTTTAAACCAAACGCGGGATTGGAATGGAATCCTATTCTAAATCCACCAAATCCCGCAAACCAAATGTGTCTTTTTAGGGATGTTTGGTTTGATGGAATGGTTTTGAGGGATTCGATTTCATGGAAGGATTTGGAATTGGAGGAATTTGGATTTGAAAGAATTTAGAATATTTGGTGTGTTTGGTTTATAGGATTCGGAATGGAATTGAATTCCATTATTTATAGAAGATCTATAAAAAAAAGAACTATAAAAATAATTAAATTACCTTCCTCTTAATTGATTATTACAAAACAAATGTTTTTAACACATTTTAAATCATTATTACATAAAAATCTTACGGAACCCGTGAAATACCAACCCCATGGGATTTCGAAATCCTATGTTTGTGGTATATCAACGAAATCCTAGGATTTCAAACCAAACATGAGATTGAAATGGAATTCAATTACAAATCCCTCCAAATCCAATCCAATCCCACAGACAAAATGCACCAACTATTTCAAATGAAGGCTGAGAAACTTGTGTACACAAGGAAATACATTTGTAAACCAGAATACAGGAAAAACAACATCACTCCTTCTCAAACATCAAACATATGCAACATATAGAAACCTAGACACCACAGAAGTCTTTGAGAATGTCTTGTGATTTCCTGCCATTTTCCGTAACGTAGAAATTCAAGAGATCGACATGATCAAATGGCTTGAATTGTAAGGGGTGCTCGTTGTCCACAAATTCATCGGGTACTTTCACCGGCTTACTCAAGAACGAAAACAATGCGATAGTATATCTTGTTTCTTTACCCTCGTTGTCCATGGTCACTTTGTGGTTTGGTGAAAGCACCCTGTTGTTACTCCAAGCCTGTCCAACCAAGAAACCACACTTTAAAAATCTACTACCAAATTCTAACTACAACAGATAAGAACTTGAGAACCAACTATTTCATGTATTATTCATAATGAATAACCTAGTCATACGTTTTTATGATACCAATAATTTCCATCATGAATACCATGTATTTTTATCATTAATATCATGTATTTTCATTATAAATATCTATCACGACATTCGTCATGAATCACTACAACAAAATCGGGTTTATAGAAACTCCAACAATTGTCTTTTGTCCTAATAGACCGTTTTATAGGGGTTTATAAGACTTAAGTTTATAGCACAAAACTACAACGTGTAAGTGGTGTAATAAATTTATAGGCCATTTATGGATGTCTTAACAAGTTTTTCATGACAATTTTTTTAAATAAAATGTCGTATTAGCTTATCCATTGTATAGGACACACTTGAGAAATGTTCTATAAACACATCCTTTTATAAGACACTATTTCTATAAGACATTTTTTTCTAATATTGTCTTATAAAATAGCTAATACGACACTTTATTTTAAAAATGTCTTAAAAAGCTTGCTAAGGTGCCCAAAAGCGTCTTATAAACTTATTACAACAATTTTAGATAAGACACTTTATCGTCTGGTCCTATAAACTTAAGTCATATAAAGCAAGTCTATTGGACACTTAAACATTTTTGGCGTCCTATAAGTCTAATCTTGTTGCAGTGAATAAAGCATGAATAATCAGTAATCACCTTGCAGGCATCCCCCGCCATGACCACGAACGACGAAGGAGGGAATTCTACAGAAATCCATTCCTCGTTTCTTGCTCTTATTTCCAACCCCGAAACCTGATTCTGGTGAAGTATGGTCAAGAAACTTTTATCCGTATGAGACGGAAAAGCCATCGTGGTCTCGTTCATCTCCGGTGCTCTGTATTTCAGATACCGGAGAAGATAGGTCGTAGAGTCGATATGAGAGTCACTATCCTTCTTCTCCATACCATAGCTTTCAAACAACATCCTTATTACCATATGATCAAGTTTAGCCACTGCCCTTGAAAACAACATTGAGGTTTCACTACAAAATAGAAGACATAAAATTGAAGTTATAATCTACTTTTTTTTAACAAAAGGAGACCCAAAATGCAACAAAATCAGTTTCATAGGATGTCAATTATGTTTAAATATTCAAATATGTCCTATCAATTTATTATAACACTTTTATATATGATACAGAATAATTTAGTCTTATGAAACATTCTATTAGGAAATTTAGACATATTGTTTTTGGGTAATTGTGGGTTTCGGGGATCAGCTTATGGCCACCGACTAATCCTTTGGGAACCACGAATGGCTTGGAGTCATCGTAGGTGAACCTCCATGGAAACAGGGGATTCGGCAGGGTCTGGATTCATGTTTATACATATTTGACGTTCTACAAAACCGATTTTATTGGGCGGATAATGCATCCCCTGTCCTGACCTGTTCGGGCAAACCGTTGGGTACCAGTTTTGTAAAAAACAATGTATTTAAAATTAAAAGTATTATGAATTGTTACTACATTAATTACCAATATTGAAAAACAAAATATATTTGTCAGTTAATAATAAATGTATACATATATATTTATTTGTACATGCACTATATACATATATTAAATAACATAAAATTAAAAACTAATCGGGGTCGGATTAGGGGCGTGTGTTGTCATCCCTGACCCACCCCCCCCCAACCCACCCCGCTTTGGGTATGAAAATAAATCTCCGTCCCCGCCCCATTACCCATCAAACCTGGGAATCCTCGTCCAACTAGGGTCGAGGATGCCCATCCCAATGGGTAAAATTTTCATCTCTAAATACATGTCTACGTACTTACCAGAAGGAGTGATTTCCGTTTGGCCACATGAGATCCGTGAAACTTTGAGCACCACTAAGGTCTGTAGCGTAGTCAATCCCTAAACCTTCATGAAGCGGAACAATCGGCATTTGGCCTACATATCCATGGTACGGCTTTGCCACTATATTTTTTATTTTGGTTTCGATCGGGAGATCGAACAACTCGTCTGCAGCAAGAAACACAGATTCCTGAAGATTGGAGGAAACCCCATCATAAAGGGCTATAAAACAGCCATGGTTTTCAAGGGCAACCCTAATATCATTACATGTGGAGGACCAAGAACTTGAACTAGGCTTTAGGTTCTCATTTGTGAAGTCTACTACAAGAAGCTTGGGAAATTTTAGGGAACCCATGGTTTAGTTGGATGAGCTCTAATGTTAGTGTTGGTCATATTATATAGGCACAAATCCTAATAGTTCTGCTACATGGGATATGACAGTATAAAAACTCCATTATGTGTTTGGTGTGACGTTAGACTGGGACAGGATAGGGCTTGAACGGGAGGAAAAAAATGTAAATTTTTGTAGTCCCATCAAAATAGGTGGAACGAGAACTAGGGAAATGAGACAAGATTGGTAAATTATTAAACTGCTCATCTGAAATTGCCCGTTTGGTTTTGAGGAATTTGGATTTCGTGGAAGGATTTGGAATTTTTGGTGTGTTTGATTTGCAGGATTTCGAATAGATTTGAATTCCTTTTTTATTAATAGTTTACGAAAAAAATAATGAAAATAAATAAATTATCTTTTTATTAATTGATTATTACAAAATAAATGTTTTTTTAATATATTTTAAAACATTGTTACAAACAAAACTTATGAAATCTCATGAAATATCATACCCATAAGATTTCTAAATCCCATGTTTGTTAGATCTCAATGAAATCTCGAAATTTAATATCCAAGCATTCATTCAAACCAAACATAAGATTGTAATAGAATTCAAAATCTAAATCCATCCAAATTCTATCAAATCATGCAAACCAAACGGGATTTTAAAACCTTCCACAATTCTTTCCCCCTCTTATCCCACTCTCTCACCCATTTAGTCGGTTGGAGCCTCGGGAAGAGTTGTATTTTTTGTTTAACAGTCTACCCACCCTGGAAACAACTCTGTCAGAGATAGTGCCCAACAGCTAGAAGAGCACCATCTGCACCGGTCCATGCCCCTAGTCGATCGACAGATCGGCTCTCGTCATTCCACATCCGACGAGTCCAATCCTATTCACATACCAAACATATAACAATACACAAAAAACTATAAACACTTATGAAAAAACAACCTCTCTATCCTTTTGAGTAGAGACAACGTATGCATACATCATATCCTCTCAGACCCTAGTTTATTAGTACAATTTCTGGTAATCCGGTTCGGGTCTCTTTAATTAGTCGATAATAATTGTGTTTGGTGATGCAAATACTATAAAATGGTCAAAAGCAACATCAATATTTGGTACCACATGAGTCATATATGTTGTACGATTTGATATAATAATATGATTATAGAAAAAGGGGTTTGAATAATGAAATTGGTACAAACGTATCAAATCAGATCTCAAATTTTAGTTTGTAGATTTGGATGTATTAAGATTAATGAAACCATTCTTTAGTTATCAAATAGATGGACCACTTTTTTTAATATATAAATGTTAGCGTTCTACATCAATGCTATATTATTAAGTATTTAACAAAAACTCTTAAAAATCATCTTTTACAAAATACTATTAATTAATGCATATTACTTAAAATTTAATATTACAAGTAAATTTTACATAAATACAACTTATTAAAGCTGCATTTTTGAATTCGTGTCACTAACTGTAAATAAATAGGCTCAAGTAATCAACTAGTGCAATACAATCAGTTGGGAAATAAAATCCATATGTCTATTATTTTCCTCAAGCAATGTAACAGAATTTATTTGGTGTCTGTTTTTTACCAGTAAACTATTGATCTTGTAAATTTGATACCAATTTACAAGAAGGTTACATAATAGACAGTAAACTTGACATCAACATCATAAAATGTTACAAGATCAACAAATTACCGATAAAAATAAGTAAAATCTAGAAAAGAGTGTAAACTTCAACAAAGGTCGGTATTTATCGTACATAAATATCAAATACTTCAAAAGCACAAATACAAGAAGGAATTTCTCACACGAAAAAGAGAAACAAAACAAAGAGAGTAAATTACGATTCCATCCCAATGGTTTCTTAGAAATTGCAATTTTCATCCCTGTGGTTTAAAAATTGTGATTTTCATTCCTATGTTTTATAATTTATTGTTACTTTCGTCCCTAGGCTAATTCTTATCTTTAAGTACAAGGAACCAAAATAGTAAAGAATTGTAAACTATAGGGACCGAAACAATAATAAATTGTAAATCATAAAAACAAAATAACAACGAATTATGAGTCATTTAGTAAATGACCTTAAATGGGTTTTTAATTAAATCATGACCTTTTGGCTATATAAGAAAGAATGGGTTTATACTCATGAGAAAGTTATGGATTTAACTAAAATCTCGTTTAAGGTTATGTACCTAAAAATCTCATGAATTATAAACCATAGGGACCGGAAATCACAATTTCGAAACCACGGGGAAGAAAATCGCAATTTTTAACAAACCACGTGGACAAAAAACGTAATTTACTCAAACGAAAAAGTTGGCTGAGTCGACTCAGTTATGCAGATCCAAATTCTGCAAACCATTTCTCATGGCGTTCGATATCAGCAGCAGATACACTTGGCTGAACCTTTGTGATTGCTTCTTCAAAGTCACACATGGCGATTGGATCGTTTGAGATGTCATCTTTCGACATGTTTTTTATTTCTTCTCGTGTTTTTCCTGCTATTTTACGCCGCATCCCGTTCAACGAAGCATCTCGGCATACGTTTGTTAGATCGTCACCACTATACCCCTCTGTTCGACGAGCTACCTCCTCAATGTCCACGTCACTAGCTACCTGATAAACATGGAGACATGGGGAAAGATGAGATTCTTTTGTCTACTATAACTCCATTGTGAATGTGCGTTTGGTACGCAGGACAAGACATGACAATGATGAAATGACAGTATAGGTCCGTCTGGTACACTGGATAGGACAAAACATAATAGGGATCATTCAAACAATAACAGATTGGAACAAAGTAGAACATGAGTGTTCCACCACCCCCTCCATGGAACAAGGTGGAATAAATCGATAGACCTATATTTTACCAATATAATCTCAAAATAAAACTAAAATATCAAATACACCACCCTCTTTACATTTTATTTATCTTTTAAATTTTATTTATTGTATTTTATGCTCTTTAAACTTCTTTCTACCGTCCTCAAAATATTTTTTTATAATATTTTGGTTAATTTATGTGATTTATTAAATATTAATAATTATATAGAAAATGTATAAAATAAAAATTGAAAACTATATAAACTTTTTATTTTGATGTCATTTTAATCGTCTTGATTCTAATGATATATTTTGTTTTAAAAATATTTATTTTATTAAAATTAATAAACTATATAAATTAATCAAAATATACGAACAATTCATTAGAGGTGAAGTGGTTATTTTATCTGTTTTGTCTTGTCCAGTTCTGTCTTACCAAATACTGAACAATTGTTCTGTCCTGTTATATCTTGTCTAGATACCGAACGCACCCTTACGGTACAAGGAATCCTTAAAAAAATATAATTCGAGGAAATAATAGGAAGGAGAAACGAAACAAAACAAAACAACGTTGTTAAATCAGTGACTTTACCTCGACAGTTCTCAAATTAATCTTTATAAGCTCTTTCCTACTCTCGAGATTAGGCAGAGGAATATAAATTCGCTTTTCCAGACGTCGCCTGCATAGTAACAATAACCACCGGATCAACCAAGAAACATGAAAGAACTATATCTGAGCAAAAGGTTGATTAAGGGCAACCCCGACCGGTCCCACATGGGGCTCGCCCCCTAGGAAGCACATGTGAGGAGGCATTTCTGAGTTGCCTCAGCATCTAAGGCTAGCAGAGGGGTTTAAAGGGTTGTTTGGTTGGTTTTCCATTAAGTCATGTATAGATAAATTGTTTGTGTGGATTAGTTTGTCTATAGATTTAGAAGGTTTTTGTTTTGGAGGGTTTTTTCATAAATGGAAAGAACATGCTTTAATTGGGAGGGGCAGGTTTGAAAAAAACTTGGTTTTTTGCATAAAGCTCCCCCTAAAAGCTTACTGAATAAGCCACTTTCTACATCATTAAGCCCTACCAAACAGTCATGTACAGCTGACCAAACAAGTTGGGAGTCCCATTTAGCTCATTGAGCTGCTAACAAACATGCCCTAAGCCCATCTCCCGCAAGATTCGAATTCGAAGCTGTTGTGTATGAGCAAAATCACTCCCTGCCCCTTTGCCAACTGAGTTACATTCCCCAGGGCAACATGAAAGAACTATATACATAAAAGAGAAGGCATAACTGAGAAGAGATAGTATGAAATTAAACCTTAGTGCTTCATCTATATCCCATGGGAAATTGGTAGCAGCCAAAACCATCACGATTTTGCGACTGCCATCTTCATTAGTTCCCGTGTTGTTCACACCATCTACTTGAACTAGAACTTCAGATTTAACCCTCCTCGAAGACTCATGTTCCCCCGAGGCCCTGAACAAATGAAAGAACAATCCTATTCACAGGAATACCATAGCAACTAAGAGATAAAATAATAAGAAAGGCCATACTTTATCAAATATATATAGGGGATGTTTCATTTACAAATCATAACTATTGCTTATATTAGGAAACAACAAAGATATTTATGGACAATTATCATGATTCGTTAATTATGATTGAGATATTTATGGACAATTCATCTGTAAGGTATACAAGTAATTTGTAAGTAATTTTCCACTATGCACATGTGCATAGAAACCAGGATACATCTTCAATTCTTGTATGCATATGCACATACCGTACAGATGAACGGATATTAGGGTGTTCTTCAGTTTTTCAATTTTTTGGGGGTTTTCCCTTGAATATATATGATATGCAGTTATGCTGTAATGTTAATAGGCGAGAACGATTGTAAAATAATGCAACTATAACCAAAATTACTTGGTAATTTTACTATATTAATAGGCGAGGACAATTGCAAACTAATGCAACTATAACCAAATGGTCCAAATTGCTATCATATGCAATAAGTACATGAAGATATGTAAGCATATATGCATGCACAGGGCAAAAAGGGAAATGCTAGAAGTATCTCTAGCTAACTGTTAAATGGGTGAACATGGATTGCAGCCACCGTAAAACTGAAAGAGAAAAAAGTCTAACCCACGGGAAGTGCAAAGAGAGTCAATCTCATCGATGAAAATTGTGCTTGGTGCATAGGCTCTAGCGAGGTCAAACAAGCATCGAACCATACGTTCACTCTCTCCACGCCATTTTGAAGCCAAGCTCGCAGAAGACACGTTAAAAAATGTGGTGCCACACTCGGTAGCAACAGCTTTAGCCAGTAGTGTCTTCCCGGTGCCAGGTGGACCAAACATAAGAACGCCTTTCCAAGGTCTCCTGATTCCCTGAAATATATGTTCAGATTAAGCTTACTAATTTCATGGCAAAGCTTGTGTGTACAAGCACAAAGTTCTACACATGCAAAAGTAAATTTACGGTGTGTTTGTCAGCAGCTTAATGAGCTTAATGGGACTCACAGCTTATTCGGTCAGCTATAGATGATTGTTTGGTAGTGGCTTAATGATATAAAAAGTGGCTTATTCGGTAAGCTACTAGGGTGGAGCTTTATGCAGAAAGCCAAGTTTTTTTTCCGAATCTTCCCCTCCCAATAAAAAAACAAGCTCCTTCCATCTATGAAAAAACCCTCCCAAACAAAAACATTTCCAATCTATACAAACAGATTAATCCATACAGGACTTAATGGAAAACCAACCAAACAGCCCCTTATACTACTTAAGGAGTTGCCAGGAGTAACATAGAAACCGACCAACGATGCAATATTTGAGATATTTAAGGAGAGGTCCAATAGGATGTTGAGTGGTCTGATTGATAGACTGCTTAAGATGAAAATGGCGAGTGGTTCAACGATGCAATATTTGAGATATATAAGGAAAGGTATGAAATGTCCAGTGATGGTGTAACCCTTCGACCACGAGCATATAGACTACTAGAGGGGAGATCTGAATCCCAGCCAAAGGGTTTATCCATGGATAACAAAAGTAGTTGAAGCTAAATCACGAGTTTAAGTCATACACGCAGAGACAGACCTAGAAATTTTTTCAAGTGGTTGCACCATTTGACTATAAGAAACAAAGATATAGATATTTTTCACAAAATAATAATTGGACTATTGGTTAGTTCTTTGATTTTCATATGTGAGGTCCCGTGTTCAAGTCTTTTATTGCAAAGTTTTTTAGATTCATTATAAATCTGAAATTAAAAACTAAACATTAAAGAAATGAAACATACGGGATTCGAACCTGGGTCTAGGGTGGGAGAAAAGCCATGAAAATCAACTCTACCAAAAGAAACTTGTGTCACCATTGTAGTTTCAAAATATATACGGTTGACGAAATGATACGGTAGCACCTTTCATGACCCTATAATTTTTTACAATACGACAGAGGAACAAGGCGGTGCCACCGTATCTATTAAAGTGGGTCCGCCCTATCAATCTTGGCATATAATTAGCCAACAAATAAGTTAGATATTAATAGTTAACATGCTGCACTGAGAGGGTAGATAAAATCTTCAAACAAAGAACAAAAGCAGTTCAGCTCCAGGCAATACCTGGAAATAATCAGGCATCAATAGTGGAAGAACCACCGCTTCCTCTAGAAGTCTTTTGGCTTCACTCAGTCCTGCAACATCATCAAATCTCACTCCAGGGGCGGCATCTAAGACATCCCTTTCCAGTGTTGCAGCCAAGTCTGCATCAGGCCCTTCATACTGCCCACGTTTTGACTTTCCCTCTTCAGTATCACCATTCTGATCATCGTAAGTTAACGAGCAGTAGGAAAAAAAATCCTCATATTAGAACTCATATAGGATGTAGCTATATATATATATATATATATAGAAAGAGAGGGAGGTTTAGGGGAAATCCCCTAAAAAATGAAAAACTGCGGAAGACCCTGGTAACCACCATTCGTTTGTACGATACGCACATGTGCATATAAGTAATTGAAGTTGTTTCTTGGTTTCTATGCACGAGTGCATGTTGTGCACGTGTGCATACGAGACAAATGCCTGCAAATTACTTGTATACACATGTGCATTTCCTCAGTTTTTCATCGAATCCAAAGCTGAATTCATTAAAAAACATTCAAAATTTTATGACAAAGAAGAATGAGCAAACAATTCTGGGCAGCAAAACTTACCCCGGAATCATCCTTCCCAGTGTTCGACTTCCCTGAACCAGTTCCTTTTTTCCCAGTCGTCGATGCTCGAACTCCCGAGTTAACCTTGCTAGAAGCACCAACCTTACCTCCACGAGCCGTTGCTCCACCTTTCGTAGTAGAACCCCTAGCCCAAACTCCATCTTGTGATGCCTTTCTCGTTCCCCCTGGAGCGGCTCTTGCAGATCTTCTATTTGAAGTGTCTCGAGTCGGTGGTCTCCACACATCAGGATCGTCCATTGGAGCACCCGAAGAAGTTGGGTACTCATCCAATGGTTGAAAAACAAACGATGATTTCTTAGCGGAAATTGGAGGTGACGAAGGTCTTCTACCCACTAGAGTGTCTTTCAAAGACCTCCTCTCGGCATCCAATTGCTTCACAACTTCAGTCTCCTCTAACAGATTTTTCTTTACATTTGTCCACTTTGAACAAACCATCGGATCATCGAGGGAGCTTAAGTGCCTTACAGGAAAACACAAGTTTTTTGTCTAAAACATCAAACAATCATGTTTCATAACAAAAGGGCAGCATATTAAGGTTAAAATCTAGCTGAATTTCAACAAGATCACCTAATGAAATGGCAGAAACCTAGATTTTAAGGGGCTATTTGGTTGGTTTTCCATCAAGTCCTGTATGAATACAGTTGTTTGTGTGGATTAATCTGTCTGTATAGATTGGGGAAGTTTTTGTTTGAGAGGGTTTTCTCATAGATGGAAGGAATGTTTTTTAATTGGGAGAAATAGGTTTGGAAAAAACTTGACTTTATGCATAAAACTTCCGTTAGAAGTTTAGGGGCCTATTTGTTAGTTGCTTAATGAGTTTAATGGGACTCACGGCTTATTTGGTCAGATATACATGACTTTTTGGTAGTGGCTTAATGATATAGAAAGTGGGTCATTCAGTAAGCTTCTAGGGAGAAGTTTTATGCAGAAAGCCAAGTTTTTTTGCAAAACATACCCCTCTCAAATAAAAAAACACGGTCCTTCCATCTATGAAAAAACCCTTCCAAATAAAAACCTCCCCACTCTATACAAACAAATTAATCCATACAGATAGCTTTATCCATACAACACTTAATGGAAAACCAACCAAACAACCCCTAAGTCCTGTATGAATTCAATTGCTTGTACAAATTGGGAAAGTTTTTGTTTGATAGGGTTTTTTTCATAGACGGAAGGAGAGTGTTCTTTTAACTGGAGAAGAAGGTTTGGAAAAAACTTGACTCTCTGCATAAAACCTCCCTGAGAAACTTACTGAATAAGCCACATTTTATATCGTCAACCCACTACCAAACAGACATGTAGAGCTGACCAAATAAGATGTGAGTTCCATTAAGCTCATTTAGAGCTGACCAAACAGTCATGTAGAGCTCATTAAGCTGCCAACAAACATGCCCTTAGTCATTTAGTATTTACTTCTGCAAGAACTACATTTAGTGTATACTACTGTTTGCACGAACCCTCGGCTCGTCACGTCACGTCAAGGGAGCTTGAATGCTTTACAGGAAAACAAAGTTTGTCTGTCTAAAACATCAAACAATCATGTTCCATATCAAAAAGCAGCATATTTAAGGTTAAAATCTAAAGCCCAAGCTACTTCCCCATGCTTTTAAGCTGAATTTCAACAAGAACACCTAATGAAATGGCAGAAACCTAGATTTCTAACTAGTCACTTGGTATTTACTTCAATTTCAACAGATCCTCTATTCGTAGTGTACAATAACTCTTTACTGATTGCTCATCACTTGTTTTTCTTTCAATTCATCTAATCTCCCAACAAATCATAAAAAACAAATCCAACATTCCTCTAAATTTCTTCACAGATACATCATCTAACATTTCGATTTCACGAAGAAAATATAATGCGTATGTTTCTGTGATTGGAACTGTAATTAAGAGATAGAGAGAGAGAGAGATTACTTGTTGATCTGAGCGATGGCGCCATCAAAGAAGATGACGGAAGTATCATAGAGACCTTCGAGTGCGTATTCTCTTGCCAATTTCAGATGATCTTGTAATCCTGCAAGCGATGTGCCTGCCATAGGTGAGACCTCTCTATACCCTAGGGTTTGTTTCTTCAGGTAGCCAGTTGTCGGTGGGAAGACGAAGAAGAAGAAGAAGAAGAAGAAGAAGAAAGACTTTGGGGGAGGTTGCTCCGACCAGAGAAGACGACGGCGTTTAAACGGATGGAGGGGGATTTGTGTGTTTTGACCATTTTAGTCCTTTCTCTTTGTCATGGCTGACGGCTACTCAGACGTGCAATCCACGTGCCTACGTATTTTTATTTGGCAGCAAAAATAAATAAACAAAAGTAACGAGTCAGTTTAACAAACTCTTACTTAGGTAAGTGTTTGTCGGCAAAATTCAAACTATCGTTTATTTGTCGGGTAAGATTTTAGTCCATCAAAATGGTATCATATGTAACAATTCACGCGGTAAGCACTGACATTGGTAAGAGTCGTCGCTCTCACTTACCGGGTAAGACTATTGGTTCTTGTTTTCATTCTTACAAGATAAGATTCTTAGTGTTTGCATATTCATCCGTAAGGTAATATGACTTGGTAAGCGCTAACCTGGGTAAGAATTTGGTAAACAGTCCCTAAATTTATGGGTTCTTTTAATAAGCATGAATTTTCGAGTTAGCTTATGCATAATACCCATTAATCCTCATATGATGATTATTGGTTGGAGTTATTGTAGGGGAATCTTTACGGTGATAAGGCTTTGACCGCAGAAACTTAGATAACTGGGGGCCCTAGGATATAAAAAAAACCCGAAACCGAATAACTCACCATAATCAAAAACGATTCCGGGTTATTCGGTTTTACGAGTTAAGCGGTTTGGTTAGTCAAATAAGGTAAATTTCGATTTCGATTTCGATTATTCTTTTTACCATATCGGTCAACCGAATAACAAAATATACTATTATTTAATTTATATAATTTCCTTCTAGATGAATTAGTTTGAACATATATAAAACTAAAAGAACAACAAATTGAGATATATTTAACAAAAAATCATCAGCTAATATTATCATTGTAGCATAATTGCAAGAATTAGTGGTAACAATATACGTGGAGAATGACCATCAAGCAAAAAAGTGGGAGGTTTTGCTAAAACGGACTAGACCACTAAGGGAACTATCGAAAATTACTAGGTGGGAACTAATCAAAATTTTACCTACAAAATCTATAATTTTTTATATATAAGTAGTGGCCAACCCCCACCTTGATAATGGTAAGTCCGTCCCTGTATGGATTTTAACCTGATGAAGATGAGAGTTCTATTATATCGTCTTAAGCCTTAAGCGGTATATGGAGTAATGGTTTTTGCCCTTTTCATATTATGGTTTTTTATAACTTTCGCCACATAGGGGCAATGTAATCTTTCAAGCCCCCACTCAAAATTTAGGACAATTTAAGTCTGTCTAACCTTCATTAGAGGGGTATTTCCACATTGTGATTGGGACTCTTTTTTAGAGTAATACGAGGGTCTCACATAATCTCACATTCAAAATTTGTCAAATTTTGCATTGCCGTTTTTTCTAAATGTTTTAATGATTCTTATGTCTATAGTTCAAAGGGGTTGCAACTTTGACGTCTCAGAAACCACCTGAAACACCAATCGAAGAATCACGAACCAGTAATTCCCCTGTGATTAAAGGCGGCCATAGTCTATCTATGGTTGATTTGTCTTCTAATCTTGTACAATTATAGTTGCGTCATGAGATTTTTCGTTCTACCAAACCTTTCGTAATGTGGGATCTACGGATGTTTTTGCCTCGTCTTCTCCACATCACAATGTTGTACGCCATTTGCATAAACATTCTTAACTTGAAAACCCGACGTCTTGATGCATAAAATGTTTAGTAGCCATAATTCACAAGTTCCCATTTATGTGGCATTTCATTTTCTTGGCAGGCTTGCTTGCATTTATTAAAAGGTTTATCTTGATACATAAAAGATTCTTTACAGACAACGGTTTTTAAAGATTTTTTTATAGACAACGGTTTTCTTGCATCCTAGCTTCAAATGAGATATACTGATCTTGTTTGATCTGGTTACTCAAATCCGGTACCAAAATCATGTAAAACAAAGAAAGCAAGACTATCGTTACTATAATATCCAACCAAACGAACTTTTTGGACTTCCAGTTCAACTTAAGTGCACCACGAGCACCCACGGATGGTCTGGAAGTCGTCGCACGTAAACTTTCATGGTCACAAAGGATCTAACAGTACCTAGATTCGAACCAAAGAAAGATAAGATTTCCATTACATCTTCTAAGTCTTAACCGATATATCAGTGCGCCACAACCCAACTGGTTGTCTAGTTACAACACAGCATTAAAACAATAGTAAAGAATTATGCCCTAAATCTCACCCTTTTATTGTGGGCTAAATCACCTACTTTTATGGGAACAATCAAGTACAACAATCATAAGACACATTTCATCAAACACTTGATGAACAACATCTAACATGCAATAAAAAAAACCTAACACTTCAAAGAATTCATCTTCTCAAACTCTTCCAATTCCTTCAACCACAAATCCCCAAATTCACAATCTCTCCAAGCCTCAAACCATGGCCCTCCAGATGTATAATGAATTGCTTTTGGAAAAGTATCCAAATCGCCATTAACGACCTGGTTATGACCCACAAGGAAGTTCCAAACAAAAGGAACTGACCCAATTTCATCATCTTCTAACCATTGAAACCTATGAAGATACGCACCTGATTCTTTGTTCACAACCTCCGGCGTCAGAATCCGGTTTTTCAGGTGACTGCAGTTATACAACACCATCGACGACCAGTTCTTCCGTGGGTACACCGTCTGAACCACGCCGTCCATTTTCGTAGCCTCTTTTGGAGTGTAATCGTGTTGAACACACATCACTGCATATTTTTCATCGATCAGATCCGTTAGTTCCTTGACGTCGCCGAGATAGAGGAAATCGCAGTCGACGAACATCGCCCAACCTTCGTAATTCGCCAAAAATGGCGTCAAAAACCGTGTGAACGAGAATTCGGTGCTTTCGAGTTTGTTACGTTCGCGCCAATAATATTTCTTCTCTCGCAATTCGGATTGTTTGATCGGGATCACCTCGACGGAGATCGAAGATCGTTTGAGGATGGAGTAACGACACACCTGGTACGCTAGATCTTCACGTGGATCGTAACCTACGAAGATCTTAAACGGTTTCTTCTGGTCGCCATTGTTGAACACAGAACCGCCATTAACGTTGCTGGTGATGGCAGATTCCACCGACATTGTAACCAGAATTTTGGAGCTGTAAACATGGAGAATGCAAATCAATCACTAAGATATCGACAATGTGAAAACGAAAACAGATCGTAGAGATTCAAAAACGGAAATTGGGGATTGCATTAACGAGTACAGGAATTTTGATAAAACAGCAAAATGAGGATGAGAAAATTAGGGGGAAATGGAGGATCTACCTGTTGGAAGATCGTAGATCTAGATTTCAGGAATGGAGGATCGATTGAAACCGATTCTTTCGGGATTGAGTGATCAAGAGAAGCGTCGAGGTGGCAATTTTGCTTTCGGTTCTTGATCGTTGCTGAACCTATTTAGGCATGGAATGGGGATTAGTTATCTCTATCTCCCTTCCGGTTTCCATCCGTCCGTCTTTCCACACATCGGGGAATATAATCGTATTCCTATCTCCAACGGGGAAGGGAGGCATTGGAATACGCCTCGACCTATGGGGGAACCTCATCCACCCATCCCGGTTGGGGACGGATATTCCATGCTAAATCGAGGATGGGGACGGGGACGGGTATAGTACTTCACGCCCCGTTCCGCCTCGTACATGTTATATATATTAATTAATAAATTATATATATATATATATATATATATTATTTATTTCAACTAAAGGGTTAATTCATACTTCTTATTTCTTAACTAGATTTATAATCTAAAATTGTTATTTTTTGGATGTTAATATGCAATTTTTTGGACGTCAAGTCAAAATACAATTACTTGATAAGTTTTGTATATTACTCGATATGGTTTTATATTACTCAATATCTTTTGATACATGTGAATTTAAGTTTTTTTTATTAAATTAAAAAACATTTGATTTTAGATTATTAGTTCTGATGTTGTGGTTTTTTTGTATTAAATTAAATTCATTTTGATTTTAGGCTTGTTGAAAATGTTTGAGATTTAAACATATATGGTCTTTCACATATTTAATTTAAAATAACTTACATAAATGGAAAAAAAAAATTGTCATAATTTCATTTTGAACAATTACCAAATATTTATATTTCATCATAAGAGCTTCTTAATCATTCTAACCATTCATTATGCATTAAATCATTCAACAACTGTCAAACAATCTTATTTTAATAATTTAATATTATATACTCATCATTTTTTTTTTGGAAAAGGGCTTATATACTCATCATAGCATGCAACTTTAMAAAAAAAAAAAAAACTATAAAATCTGAAACAATCATTCATATATATAAATATAACAATCTCTGCGAATACATAAACATATTTTTCATAGACCCAAAATCCCAATCAAATATTGAGAAGAAAAAAAGGCTCTTTTTATGCAATGAACAACCTTTTTCATGTATTGGACATGATGATCCACAAAATTGCCTTTTTGAAAAGAAAAAAATAAGGTATATCGTATAGGTATATAGACCATATCATATGCCGAATTCCTAAGTATGTGTTTCTAACATCTCTTTCGGTTAATCTTAAAATCGAACGATATTTTTTACGGGAAATTTGGAAGATGGAATAGATTCAAATCATGTACACGCATGGATCTCGAATGAATCAAACATTCTTCAACAACTCGAGAATGAGCATTTTGAAGGCGTTATTGGATCTGCATCATCGAACAAAAAGACAGTAAAAGATTATTAAATCTTCTTCAAAATGGAGAACCAAAAGAAGATTTATTTATATTCATTTATAACAGTTTGATTACAATATGAATTATAGGGGATTGTCCTTTGCAGTTTGCACCCCTTTTAATGTCAAAATCAATTCGATTCATGCATTGAGAATGTAAATTGTGAGTTTTAATGTTGATTCCGAAGGAATAAAAAATCCTCTTGTGGTCACGTAGGTTCAAATTCGGTGACTCCGGGATATCTGCAAAGCAGGTGGTCGTCCTAGGATTAGTCGGCTAGCATAGCGGGTTGGATATCCAAGTAAATAAAAAAACTGAGTTTTAATGTTGATGTGTGTGGGGAGGAAATTATTATGTAGGGGTGCATTTAGCAATATAAAAAGGTGTATAACTAGTCTAGCCCGAATTGTGTTATTAAAATATGGGGTGGGCTAAATGCTCACGTTCATATAATTTTTCTACTCATGATGTTAATATCAAGGCTTACTTTTTACATTTATAATACATGATTCTGATATGAAAAGGGTGCATATAGCATTACCAATAAAATATTTGATATATTTCCTAAAATATTATTTATCTCTTATATACATTTAATTTCAAGGTTTGTCGTTGGTAGAAAAAATAAAGAATAATTTATTAATTTATCTTTCATAGGTAAACATTCATGGGTAATAATTTTTAGAGAGTTTTTCAAATTTAGATGATTTCACCATCTCTCTCTTATTTTTTCAATTTATGGGGAAGGTTTGGGAATCTGGTGACCACTCGCTTTGCGGATAGCCGGGAGTCACCATCATGTGAACCTCCGTGACCATAATGAGATTTTTTTTCCTCCTTGGATTCGAACTTGGACCTCCAGGTACTTTTGACATTTAGAGTCCAAGATCAAACCAATCAAGCTCCATGTAGTTGCATACAAAATTTTTGTTCTTCAGAGAAAACGTAAACAAATGATTCATATTTACCTAGTCCATTAATGGCTTCTGAGCTTCTCATCAACCTTATTCGTTTACAAGTATCGATGAACATCCTGAATTGAAGTAAATAATCAAAGAAAATTAGTTAATTAATTTTGAAAATTTTGTACAAGTTGTAATGAGATTGGATCATGATTGGGGAAACTTACTTCCAAGGAACATCACCAACAAGCATCCAATCCCCGTCTTTATCCTCATACGTTGGTATATACTCTATTCGATTCACAGGATCCATCAACTTTTTCTCATTGAATACAATTTCTGTAACATGAATCAATGTAGTTAACATCAGTTAATCATCCAAAACGACACAAATTTAAGCAAATTCAAATCGAAAGTAAAGTTGTATCCACTGTTCAATCAAATCGTAAAGTAGTTTTCATCGAAAATGAAGTTATACGATAATTCTGAAACCTGAAAATGCCAGAAGTTTATCATAAACCTACCGATTGTGAAACAGGAGAATATGTCTTCCAGAGCGTATAGAAGCTGCTGATAGCCTGCGTACGATTCGAGATCTACTTTTCTCAGATACGGTGCTCCGTCAACCGCCACCTTTACAAAATTGAAATTGCTGTTCATCACGTTCTTCCTGTACGATCTCACAGGCGGCCATCCCACCACCTGTTCCCTATCATATTCATACCAATATATCAGCCGATGCGTTCACTATTCATCGCGATTTCATTTTAGTTTCAGTAACGGTATGTGGATTCTTACGATCAACAACGAACATCAATAATTCAACACACTTGATCAAAGAGATTGAAACTTACTTTTCCGGTGGAGGTTTTGTGGCATCGGAGCATTCCGGATCTGATTGATCACCTCCGTAATCTTCATCGCCGCTTAATTTCAAATCAAACATATCCGAAAACCGTCGTTTTGTTCCCAATTTTCTACCTCGCGATTCCCCTGGTAAACCTAAGGTAAGTTCTGTTTCGTTGAGATTAAGGCCGTAATCGGCGGCGGTGGTTAACTCCGACGTGATTTTGGACGTCTCCGACGACATTTTGTTTGGTGAAGTTGGGATCCTTCCGGTGATATGAGTTTCCAGTTTGAGATACGTTTGGTTCGTGGGGGTGTCGCGTAGTTATAGAGGAGTGGTCATAACAGTGATCCAGTGAAAAGTGAACACGTGGCATAGAATAAACGGTTGAGATTATTCCATGAGGGTGATGATGAAAAGCTGGTAGATTAGTTGGTGAGAGTACCAGATGTCGAGATGTTTTTGTAGCACTGAATCATTACCATGTGCCCGTGTGTGTTAATGACAAAGAAGGTCACGCATCAACATGTCGGGTCTCACGTTTTAATAATTAAATAAAATATTTTTGTTTCTGAAAATGATAAAAACATTTTTTTTCCAAAATAAAATATATATGAATTTTTTTGAGAGAACTAATGCATAATGTGTTATATCATATGATATTTTTTATCAACAATTTAATTTGATGTATTGATTAACATATGTTTGTTTCATATATATATATTACAATGTAAACATTTTTCATGTGTTTGTAAAATAAAAAGTACAATTAAAAAGTTTCACATTGTAAACTGAATAGATTTGAAACAAATACATTATGAAACAAACATATGTTAATCAATTAACATATATTCAATTCAAATATCGATTAACAAAGCTTTTGGAAACTTCTATCGAGCTTACTAAAGGGCCTTTAGCCTACCGGTATCATAGTCGTTGGCCTCCTATGAGGTCAGGGTTCAAATCTCACCAAAGGTGAAGAGGGTGTGTAAGTTTATTTGTTGCATTCATGTAACTAACTGTAGATAAATATAATCAAATACAAGATAAAATTTTCATTTTAAATATATTAAAAATATAATTAGAATAATCATTGAGTTTTAACAGTATACTTAATTATTATTTTTATAAAAATTATATTATTAAACTAAAAATAAATTACTTTGTCATTAAACCTAAATTAAATTATAATAAAAATTCGAATTAAATAATTACACAAAAAATAAGAACTTCTATATATTTTTTTAATTTTCATGATATATTCAAATTTATATTTTATTAAAAAAAACATTATTGATTGCTCAAAACCATATAAATTCGTACCATAACATCGATAAAAACCAGAAAAATAAATGAAACATTGAAATCAAGATTTATCTCACTGCATTGTGCGAATACCCTTCTATATTTAAAAAAGAAAAAAACATACAAATATCATTTTGTTTAAATATTAAAAACAAATAAGATAAAAAAATATGAAAAATACTTTTAGGGATTGTTTAATTACCTTTTAATAGTTCCACTAAGAGGCAACCTCTGAACTCTTAAAATGGTGAATCTTGTTTGACAAAAAAAAAGTATGTCTCTTAATTATTCTAAAACCCTTTAAATGATTTTTATTTTGTATCTTAGATATCCCTTAACCAATAAAAATCTTAATTTCATTGTGCACAATTACCAAACAATTATATTTTATTTTGTACTATATCATAAAAGTCTATTAATCATTTTGTACCAAATCATTTAGCAATTGACAAACAACCCGTTAAAATAATCTAACGTAATATATAAAGTTCGTCGAGGAAAAAAGGCATGGCGAAATTAACATGTGGGGCCCAGACAAGCATGTGATGGTGTTTGTTTGTCGGGTAGTTATGCAGCATCTGCTTTGTTTTATAACCGAGCTTAATTGACACGTGCAGCTATTAAATGATTTAATTAAGGAATAAATATATAATTATTATTAATTAAAATATAAGTAATATAATACCATATTCTTTAATTTTAATGATTATTATTAGAGTAAAAAAATCAAAATTAAAAAGAATATCATGATTTGTTTTTTGAATTAATATTACTTTTTATTTTTATATTTAATAGCTTTTCATATCTATAATTAATTAATTATTGATTTTAAATAAATAATATATATATATATATATATATAATAAAAATAATACATTTTATTAATTAATTTATTTTTAATTTCTGTATTTTAATATATTTTCTTGTTCCTGTTATTGGAGCATAGTCGTCATTGGTCAACTTAGCTTACGTCATCCTCCGTGATTATTGGGTCTGCTATTATTCAACAATTTATTTTACTTTAAACCAAATTAATATATTTTCTTTTAATTTAAAACTTGATTCTTATTTTGAGTAAAATATTTTTAAAATTTTTATGTTGATAGCTAAAATGTAAATTTTTTAACATTTAAGTATCTGGATGATCGGTTGAAGTATTAACCGGATACCATGTTGATATTGGCGAGTGATGGGTTAAAATTGGTTGAATAGCAAATAATACTGAGTTGAATACCACATCACTTGCTACATCAGCATGGTAACCGGTTAATGTTTCAAATTGTTACATGAGTATTTAAATTTTTAAAATTTTATGTTTTAGGTATCAAAATAGAAGTTATGAAAATACATTACCTAAAATAGAAATCAAATTAAAGTACGTTATTATTTTATGCAATTTGCCCAAATGATAAATATATAGTATGCAATTGAGAATCAAATTCACTTTTTAGTCGATGTTCATAATATCTTCTCAAAACGGTTGATTTTTATGTAGATTCTTGTATGAAGGCCGATTTTTCAAGGGGGAAAATGTGTAAAGATATTTTCTTACAAAAAGATTTGAATATTTATGCAAAAGTTTGAATCTTTACGCAAAAAAAAATTAATTTGAAAATCGAGTTTATGTAAATACGTCAAATATTTGCGTGAACTTTGACTAAAATAGGAATAAAATTGAAAAAATGACTAAAGGGTTATTTATCAAACGCTTATCAAGTCACATTACCTTACCAGATGTATATGGTAAGGACCAAAAAATTTACCCGGTAAGAGCGAGACAAGAACCAAGAGTTTTTACCTAGTAAGTGAGTGCGACAACTCTTACCATGGTTAGCTCTTACTAGGTAAATTGTTGCATACAATGCCTTTTTAATAGACTAAAATCTTATTCGGTAAGTAAGTGATAGTATTGAATTTTATCGGTAAAAGATGCTTACTGGTAAATGTTTAGTAAACGTCCCCTAAAATAAAGTTGGTTGGGAAGATTGACTATTTTGTTCAGATCCCTGACTTATTTAAGAATTTGTAAATATGAAAATAATATATATTCATGACGGAATTATCTTTTAATAAACAATTTAAAAAGAACACATGATTGTGAAGTAAAGCGTTGTTTCCATTAGGTTCAGTAAACCAAGACGTTTTCTTTTATATATACAGACACGATTTTATTTAAAAACAAACCCAAAACATGACAGCTTAAAATATCAATAACGGAACTGAAATCGATTCCATCGGAAAACCGAACCCTTTTAAATCAAGTGCTTTTTGTGGAGAGATTCATATAGTTTGGCAACTTCGTGTATCCATCAAATTTAGAGTACCAAAAACGACACAGTCTGAGTCATCACACATGGGTGTTTTCGTTTCATGTGAGAATTCATGTGGTTTTTGTTTCTTTGAACGTTGTCTAATTTAGGCTAAACATGGCATTTAAATGCATGTATTTTTGTTCTGCTTTAAACCGAAAAAACCCAGAAAAGATGAGGTGGGTGGGTGTACATGTTTTTATGTTGCGTCCGAAATTTTTATCACGCTCATAAGATTCTTTTCAAATGGCATGGAACCACATATGACAATGAATTTTTTACGTGTATTGACTGTTAACTGACGTATTTTTGGTAGTTTAATTTATACGGAAATATTAAGGGTATTCATGAGTTCACATACATACACAGGGTTGGGTTTACATGAGACCAAGGGTTTTTTGTGAGACCCGTAAGACCAATTTATGTTCATTGATCAATTTTATAAGTTAATGATCTAATAGTCTAAAGTTGCACGGTGACAATTTTGTGATTATTGAGAAGTCTCGTGACAATTTTGTGTTTATGAATGTTCATATTGTAGATCTAAACCAATAGTTGAGAATTGGTCTTACGGGTCTCACGAAAAACATTTGGTCTCACATGATCCCAAGTCCACATACACATATACATACATATACATATGCGATCTAATAGTTGCATATTTGCACCCTCTTAGAGCATCTCCAACAGATTTTCTAAAATAGAGAAAATAAAGTTCTTTTTTTAACCAAAGGGCCAACCTAGCGGTATGTGAGTCATTGGCCTCATAGGAGGTTAAGGGTTCAAATCTCACTGAATATGAAGTTAGTGTATGAGTTTATTTGTTCTATTTGTCGTATATAAATATTATATATTTCAAAAAAGTTTTTTTTCTATTTTGCTCCAATATATTCTCTATATTTTTTTTTTCTGAAATAGAGAAAATTCCAAGTTTAGAGAGAATTATCTAAAACTGATTTTTTTATTCATTCCCACTAATCTGATTGAATTATTATTATTTTATATAATTTCTTTTTAAAAACTGTATTGGGATATAACATCTTAAAAATACAATGGACGTTGAAATCTTTAAAACAAAGAATTTGTTGAAGTAAAATATAAATATCTTTAGAGATTTCAACTTTCAGGGGCCGTTTACCAAACACTTAACCTATAAGCGTTTACCGGTAAAATTTAATACTGTCATTTACTTATCGGGTAAGCTTTTAGTTCACAAAAACGACATTGTATGCAACAATTTACCCGTTAAACGCTTACCGTGGTAAGAGTCATCGCCCTTACTTACTGGGTAAGACTCTTGTCCTTGCCTCGCTCCTATTGAGTAAGATTTTTGGTCTTCATCGTATTCATCTAGTAAGGTAATATGACATGGTAATTAAGCTCTTACACAGGTAAGTGTTTTGATAAACAGCTCATCTGAATGATTTTGTATCTTGTGTTTCCCTTAATCATTCAGCACCCTAATTCCATGGTAAACAATTACCGGATAATTATATTTTGTTTTGCACTATATCATGATAGTCTCTTAATCATTCTGTACCAAACCATTCAACAGCTATCAAACACCCTCTAGTAAAAAAAGGATTGATATTGATTTCATAATACATATTAAAACATCTCCTTAATGACATTATTAAAAATTAAATAAAACCCACAAAATAATTAATCTCAATTAATTAATGCTTAATCATTAATTTTATTTTCAATCATTACTCATCAAGTTTTTCGTTTGTAGTTCACCATCTACTGCTCTTTTCTTCACCCTCAACCTCTTGCACGTTTCCGCAAACATCCTGCATTATGAGTTGTACATTTGATCGTTAGACAATGCATACATATATACATCATTTATTATGATTTAATGTTTTATATCAGAAAACGGTCAGGATATTCATTGAATCAGATATTTATTGGACTAGATCGACCACCTATGTATAATATATGTGTATATATATATATATATATATATATATATATATATGGGCCTAATCAAATGAAAACTAATTAGTTTGTAGTAACCGTGAGATCCAATCTCAACCGCAAATCAATAGATAAATTAGAAAATTTATAATTTTGGTAATTTTGAATTAAAATTTTAATGCAAGAACATTTTAGGTTTTTTAAAACTCTCCTCTCTCCTCTCTCCATCCCCCATCTTCCGGCCTCCGGCCACCATCCTCTCCTCTGGTGATACCATTGTGGTATCACAATGCATCTTATACGTGTTTGAGTATCACACTGAGGTTGTTTGTGTGGTCGATCGGAATGTAACACAGTGGTATGACAATGAATCTTATATGTGCTTGAGTATTACATTGTGTCTTTGTTTAACAGAGTCAATATTTTTAGGTATCACAGTGGTATCACTGGAGGAAGGTGGCCGGAGAGCGGAGGATGGGGGACGGAGAGAGAAAAGAGGAGAGAGAAGATATGAGAGTTTTAAAATACCTAAAATGTCCTTGCATTAAAATTTTAATTCAGAATTACCAAAATTATAAACTTCCTAATTTATCTATTGATTTGTGGTTAAGATTGGATCTCACGGTTACCACAAGCTAGTCATTTCTCCCTTGAATAGTCCCCTAATATATATATATATATATATACACACACACACACACACACATATATATATATATATATATAAGTGTGTGTGTGTATAGAGAGGGGGGGAGGATCAAACGAGAAGTTGGTTAATTTTAAGAAAGTGAAGTTTCAAAATCACATATGACTATACGTGATAATACTTAATCATATATAATTAAACACATCCAAAAGGGATGCATACGACTTGGTGAACGCAACCAAAGGTTTAGGGGGAAAGTCGGCACTATGTGTTGGTCAACGCAACATGTATTTAATCATATATATATATATATAGAGAGAGAGAGAGAGAGAGAGAGAGAGAGAGAAAGAGGGGGGAGGAAAGATCATGTCAGAAATTAAAACATTTTATGAAGAAGATGAAAAGTTTCAATATCATATATAATTGTATTTTTTTAAATCTGTTTAATCGTATATAATGTGTGTATGTGTATGTGTTTAGGGGTAGGGGGAGGGGAGAGGAGAGGAGGGGAGGGGTGGGGTGGGGTGGGTAGAGGCTTACTCCCAAGGGACGTCCCCTACAAGCATCCAGTCTCCATCTTTGTCTTGGTATATTGGTATGTACTCGCATTCACCTATTTTTCATCAACATTTATTAATCCTTATCATATCCTATTTTGTTTTTTTTTTTTTTACTATAATTAAAATAAAATAAAATATTCATTTTTTGTTTACTTACCGAGTAAGATTTGAATCCACCAAAACGACATTGTATGTAATAATTTACCCGGTAAGCGCTAACTGTGGTAAGAGTCGTCGCCATCACTTACCGGGTAAGACTCTCGGTCCTTGTCTTCGCTCTTACCAGGTAAGATTCTTAGATTTTTGGCTCTTGTCATATTAATCCGGTAAGGTAATGTGACTTAGTAAGCCCTTACATAACTATACTATACTTTTTTTTAGAATAACGTATAAATCTCCAAAAAAAATATACATTTAACTCCAACAACTACTTTATTTTAGTAATTTTAACATTAACTATGTTATTAGTATATATAATAATTGTTGGAGCACATAACTCTCCTAAATCATTAAAATTTATACTATAGTATAGTTGTTAAAATTGTTCTTAAGGAAGTATGCTTTTAATAAATAATATACGTACATTCAGTCCACCCAAAATAAAATGTAAATGAAAAATTAGAAGGTACCATATCAAGACTTGAGATCATGTGAAACCAGTCTGTTTTCGTAAAACCCGTGAGACCACTTTTTGACACTTGAAACTTCATAGCAAAACGCTGTAAAGATAACCTTAACAGTGTTTTTGCTGTGAAGGTTCGACATTTTTTTTTTATCTTTACAGCGTTTTGTTGTGATGTTTCAAGTATAAAAAAATGGTCTCATGAGTCTTATGAAAATAGATTGGTCTCACGTAAACTCAAGTCATGATACCAGTATACATATAGCCCATGCTCAATTGATAAATATTAGTTAATTGGGTGGAATAGTTTCTCGTTATTATTTTTAATGTTATAAATATATCCATGTTAAAGTATTTGAATCTTGCATGGGACATGTGTTTTTCTGGTATTTTAATTCATCATTTTGTACCAAACCAACCAACATGTGTATCAATCGTATCAATTAAATTGATACCAATTTAACCAGTATTATTACAGTCGGTTAGTAACATCTTATCAAATATGCAAACTTGGTTGGTACAAAGTATTGGAAGTCATCTACCACGGTGACACCATGGTACATTATTATTAATTATTTATCAGTTTTTTTTAATTTTTTGTATATTGAATATTAAACTGTGTAACTTTAATTAATTTGTTTGAACATTTGAATGTTTGCAAGTTTTATTTTTTGTAATTAAAAACCCTAAAAAATTATATGTCACCCAAAAACTTAAAATGTCACTCAGAATTTGAACATGATAGTGAGTTTGGGTTGTATTGGTTGTACAAATGTAAATGGTTGTATAATAATCCACCTCTATATATGTATGTATACTAAATGCATGTAATTAAGGAACCCTAATTACCAAATTATGAGAATGAAGAAATTTAAGAGATGAAAACATACTTATAGGACCAAAGAGGTTCTCAAGAGCCATGACGAATTCCGAATACCCTTTAAAACCACCGATATTGATCTTCCGAAGAAACGGAGCTCCGTCCATGCTTACTTTCACGTATATTTTGGTCATCGTTCGCTTTCTGAACGAACACACCGGCGGCCACCCGACCACCACCACTTCTCTAATGTTTTCATCGCTTTTTCGATCATCGCCACCACGAATATCCAAAAACACCCTCTTTTTCTCGTTTCTTTCAACGCGGTCGACACCATTGGTGCCACCGGGTAACCCTAGTCGGAGCTCGGTGATGTCAAGCTCAAACCCTTCTTCCCTAATTGCCATATATGACATTTCTTGTTAAGCAAATTGTAGTTAAGATTGAGCAACTTATTAGGGTTTTAGTTTCTTTTTAGAGAGTAGCAATGAGTTGTGATTTGTGGGTAGTGCTTGTTATATATACAAAAATAAAGGTAAAAGGGAGAGGATATATATATATATAGAAGGGTTGAAACGAGAACATCTTCAGTTTATGAGTACGCAAGAACACCCTTTTACTATAGACAATCACATGTGATACTATTATTCCATCACATGTGATACTAAATCAGAGATGCGAGAGATTTTCGATGTGATCTTGGTTGCGGGCCAAGTCGCCCTTACACCACTAAGCCCCCTTACAAGTATTATCACATGTGATAAGGGTGCTGTTGATATGATATTATAATCGATCAAGACCATCACATGTGATGCTAAATCATAGACGCAGACAACCTTTGGTGCAGCCTAAGTCGTAGGGCACGTCGTCCGCACATCACATGGTCCCTCACGCGTATTATCACATGTGATAAGGGTGTTCTCGCGTCATCGCAAGACGATGGTGGGGTATTGTCAAACTAGCATCGCTTCGATAGCCTTCAGTCTATCCTGATTCTCCTTCTCACGTCGGGCATTCTCCTCTCTTTCGACTGCTCGCTCCTCTTCTATTTTCTTAAGCTTCACTTTTAATCCTTACGACCATATAATGACTAAATTGACATATGTTTCAATTAAATAAAGAAATAAAAAGGAACAAAAGTTTGACCTCGCTTGAACTGGAACCGACACATGATCTACCGGTAGTCAACCTGCTTGACGAACAAGTTACCACGTAGCCCGGATCCCCACATGTACCAACGCTAAGCATCCGACCCGTTTTCGTTCCATCCGGACAATGCTCTCATACTTCAATAACTCCAAGTGGATGGGTACTAGTGTCAGGTTCGTATTTCTCGATCATTTCGTGGATTAAGTGGTCCTACAATAAACAGCCGTCGATGATACCTTGTATTTTAGTAGTGATACATGACATATTCATCTGGAATATAAACGTGTTATTTATTAAATGTGTGATTCATAATGAATAACTCATTCATATTATATTCATCCTTAAAAAATGACACTTTACACGTTGTGGACGGTTCTTAGGTTTTCAATAAAAAACAAGTTCTCAACATAACTTTTCTCTCTCTCTCTCTCTCTCTCTCTATATATATATATATATATATATATATGTGTGTGTGTGTGTGTGTGTGTGTGGAAGTTCAAATTAGAACACCTTCATTTTATGAAAATGCAAGAACACCCTTATCACATATGATAATACAAATAAGGAGGCTCATGTGTGAACGGCATGCCTGCGGCCTAGGTTGTGCCAAATGTCGCCTACATCTCTGATCTAGTATAACATCAAGAACACCCTTATCACATGTGATAATACATATGAGAGGGTCTAGTGGTATATAGGTGACTTGAGCCGCAAACTAGGTCGCACTCACGTCTTCGATTCAGTACCACATATGTATCATATGTGATCAATATAGTATTATATATTATTGACTGTAGTAAAAGATGTTCTCACATCCTTATAAAATGAAGGTGTTCTCGTGTGTGTATGTCATTGAGTGTAATAAAAAGTTGTTCTTACGTTCTTATAAAATGAAGGTGTTCTCGTGTGTGTGTGTGTGTGTGTGTATATATATATCATTGATTGTAGTAAAAGATGTTTTCATGTTCTCATAAAATGAAAGTGTTTTCGTGTGTATATATAACACACTAAAAGTAAAAGGGCGGCAAAGATAAAGAAGAGGGTTAGATATAAGGCAAGATCGTAGGGCTAAAGATTTTGTGGATGGTGTGGTGGGTTCGATCGTGGCCGTGTGATGTGGGTTCGTTTGCAGGGACAAACCATGTGGTTCTTGCGTTGTCAAATAGGGACTAGACTTGGACTATAATTATACAATCTCTTCTTTAATTAAAAAAAATCGGATTTATCGTTTAAAAAAACTAAGTGTGTTAATAGACTGTTTTATAAGATCAAACAAGTGAACAACAATTTTTGCAACAAGTTTATATGACGTTTTTAAGAAAGATTTTTAGAACATCTTTATGTTAAAATGTTGTTTAGCAGTTGTTGAATGGTTTGGTGCAGAATGATTAACATACTCTCGTGATGTGGTGTCAAATGAATTGTTTGGTGATTATTTACAACGAAATTAAAGCGCTGAATGGTTAATTAATGAAGGCCCAAGATATAAAATTATTCAGATGATTTTAGAACCATTGAAAGACATTTTTTTAATCCAGAGAGTTGTTGTATTGCAGAATTATGATGGTATGATAAAGTCAAAGGAGGAGGTTGATGGAATTTTGATAATTGTGTGTGAAAATGAGATCCCATTTTCACGTTGCGTTTGGTGACCTTCGTCTTAGGGAGTCAACCGACAACTTCAATTTATGTGGGGGAGTTATTGTCTTTTATTTATTTCTATTTTGATTTTAGAGTTCAAATATGTGACTTTTAGGATTCCAAACTTCCATTTTGGAATAGTACATCTCTCAATATATATATATATATATATATATATATATATATATATATATATACGATATATTTCAAATATAATCATGTCTATTTGTACAATCAATGCAACCCAATTAATTGAGATATTTATAGAAATGATGTGAGTTCATTTATTATGATTTGAATATTTATGAAAGATGAATAAGATTAATTAATTATGATCAATACTCTATATTAGGAAATAATCAAAAATTCTATGAAATCACATATTAATCAAATTAAATGGACGGTTGAAATTGTATTGTATTGGTTGTACAAATATAAAGGGTTGTATAATAACCCACCTATATATATATATATATATATATATATATGGAATCACGTGAGACCAAACTGTTTTCGTGAGACAAGTAAGACCATTTTTTTACATTTGAAACTTCACAGCAAAACGCTGTGAAGGTTACATTGTGTCTTCACAGTGTTTTACTGTGAAGTTTCAAGTGTAAAAAGATGGTATCACGAAAACAGATTGGTTTCACACGATTTCAAGTATTATATATATATATATATAGAGAGAGAGAGAGAGAGAGAGAGAGACTTGGGATCATGTGAGACCAAGGGTTTTTCGTGAGACCCGTAAGACCAATCCTCAACCCTTGGATTAGATCTACAATCTGAACATTCATAAACGCCACGAGACTTCTCAATAATCACAAAATTGTCAATGTGCAACTTTAGACCATTAAATCATTAGCTTATAAAGTTGATCAATGAACATAAATTGATCTTACGGGTCTCACTAAAAACCTTTGGTCTAACGTGAACCCAACCTATACACATTTGATTTTTTTTCTATCTAATGCTAAAATTTAATTTAGTTATTAGCATATATTCGTTTTATAATGTGTTTCTTTCATATGAATCCGATTTCACAATGTGAAACTTTTTAGTTGTATTTTGTGTTTCACAAACACATAAAAAATGTTCACATTGTGAAACAAATATATATTAATCAATACATTAAATCTAATCCATAGGTAGAAAAAAAAATCATATGAAATAACACATGATACATCGGTTCTAAAGGTTATCATAATTTCATAGGAACCCATAACATTGTGACAAGTGATAACCTTCATAGCCAACGCATCATGTGTTATTTCACATGATCTTTTTTTCATCTACGTCTCTGATTTAATGTATTCATTAACATATATTTGTTTCGCAACGTAAACATTTTGTATGTGTCTGTGAAAAACACAAAACACAACTAAAAAAATGTTTCATATTGTGAACCGAGTACATATGAAACAAACACATTATGAAACAATACATGTTAATCAATATATCAAATTCTAACCTTAAACGGAAAAAAGAAAATCATACCACTGCTAGAAAACTGGGCATCAATAACGAAAATTAGCGATCAAAAGAATCTATCACTGAATTCCGTCAATACGTCATTGATAGCATTACCCACGAGCTTTTGACCGACGGACTATCAACGACGGAAGACCCCTTTAACTACGGATCAACGAAGGAATTTTTCCTCACTGATACTCTTCATTTTTTTAGTGTACATCTCGTAATCATCGTAATATTTGAGATTCTCAAATGATTAAATCCCCAAATAAAAAATGTGATAACATGCACATGATCCATGTGGAAGCATATATTGATAGTTATACACAATATATGAAAAAGTAAATAGAATAATTAAGGACAAATTGCATGAAAAAGTAATGTAACTTAACTTGATTTTTATTTTGGGTAACGTACTTTTAAAACTTTCATTTTGATAACTAAGATGTAAAGTTTTAAACATTTAAGTACACGGGTAACCAGTTGAAGCATTAACTGGTTACCATGCTGATGTGGCGAGTGATGTGGTATCCAACTCAATGTTATTTGCTATTCAACCCAATTTCATCACATCAATCGCCACATCAGCATGGTAACCAGTTAATGTTTCAACTTGTTACCCGGGTACTTAAATGTTTAACACTTTACATCTTAGTTACCAAAATAGAAGTTTTGAAAGTACGTTACCCAAAATATAAATCAAGTTAAAGTACGTTATTTTTTCATGCGATTTGCTCAATAATTAATGGTACCAATTGAAATTCTATAGATTTGTTATTTTTTATTTTCTATAGTAATTTATATATTTGATAAATAATCAATAAAAAGTTTATCATTTTTTTTATTATGTTGGATATTCAACCCGCTATGTGAGCCGACTAATCTTATGACGAACACTTGTTTTACGGGTAGTCTGGAGTCACCTCATTTGAACCTCCGTGATCACAATGGGATTTTTATTTTTCCTTGGATATAAACTTGAGACCTCCAGACACTTTTGACCTTTGGAGTCCAAGCTCAAACCAATCAAGCACCATCCTTGTGGTTCATAGTATTTTTGTAGTTTAACTAAAACGATATTTTTTATTGATTATCGGTTTTGATTTAAAACATCGGAATCTTAAAGATCGTAATGGTTTTAGGTAAGACTGTTGATGAAAAAAGAAACGCACAAGAAAGCAAGTGTAGGAAATCGGAGGATCGAGTAGTTAAACAAACTCATCAACCTGTTTATAGATTTATAAGAATTCTAACACGAAATTATGTCTAATAATACGATTCAAGATCGTTTTTGTTGATTAAATTAGTAATATTATTGTTAATATGAAATCACTGATATCGTAGGTCTTTTCTCCCACACGTTATTTTAAATAATAGGAAAAATTGCATAAAAAATTAACGTACTTTAACTTGATTCATATTTTGGGTAACGTACTTTCAAGACCTCCATTTTGGTACCTAAGATGTAAAGTTTTAAATATTTAAGTACCCGGGTAACCGGTTGAAGCATTAACCGGTTACCATGCTGATGAGGTGAGTGACTGGATATCATTCGCCACATCAGCATGGTAATTGGTTAATGCTTTAACCAGTTACCCGGGTACTTAAATGTTTAAAACTTTAATTTTAGATAGCAAAATGGAAGTTTTAAAAGTACATTACCCATAATAGGAATCAAGTTAAAGTATTTTATTTTTTTCATGCAATTTGTTCTAAATAATTCTTGGAAATTAATTAAATTTCCTATTTACAAAATTAAAATTGAAAACACATTTTCTTTTATTTCCAAAGCGATATTATGTGTATTTACAAATGGAAACAACGGAAATGTTGAAAATCTATACCGATGAAATTTTAGACGGTGTATATTCATCAGTGAATAATATTTTACATAATGAATATTAATCAATTAATATATACGATATGAAATTTATCGATGTTTAGGGGTATTTGGGATTGCTTATTTGAAATAACTTATGTTTTTCTACAAAAGTGTTGATCAACTTATTATAAGTTAGAATGGTTTAACTTCTTCAAAAACTCCTTATTACCGGTTTGGCACCAGTATAAGTTGTTTATCCAAACATTCAAAAGTGTTTATTACAGGGTGTCACACCGGAATAAGTCAATAAGTTGTTTTTATAAGCAATCACAAACACCCCCTTAATATTATGTCACATGGGTAATATTCATCAATAGAGACAATCTTCAACCAATTTTTTTACGTTTAAACTTAAAGAGTTTTTTGGGGGGGAAATTGAGACTGGTTTCGACCCGGCCCAGGACCATTTATAATTACAAATAACCTTAACTGGGCCTTGGGTTTTTGGTCGAGACCAGTTACATCAGGACTGATTATGAGAATAGCGTTTTGAGCACGGGACGATTTAGGCAGCTCAGGACCGAATTTTGACCATCGCTAATAAACATTATACCGAGGGTTAAAAATGTCATTTTCATTTTCATTTTCATTCCTAGTGCTGAACCAAACAGCACATATAAACATTGGATTTGAAACAAAAAATTGTATCTTGACAAATATCATGCATAGTGAAGTCCATATCCATGGAAATAATAGCAATTAGCAAAGGCTCAAATCACTCTAAAATATTTAAATGCCAAAATTTTTGCAAATAAAAAATATAGCATTTATACAACATAAATAAAAAAGAACCAACCAGAATCACCAGTACAACATACTCTCCACATTTTCGACTACGATCGATCAAAAGCAGGTCGTTTTCGCTCTAACTCGAAAATCGCTTTAAAGTTGCTTCCAACTTCCCATATCTTGCAAAAACTTCATTCGCCGACTAGAAGCAAACTCGAGTAAATTATACACATTTTCAAAGGAATCATCGTCCCATGAACAAAAGAAGTCGGCTTTGAGGATCTAGAAATAAATAGTACGCACTCCGGGATCTATAGTTCTCGATCTTTTTTCATGGGCTCTAATTTAATTCAACACCTTCTGATTTTAAGTGTCGGTTTTAAATGGCTAGATTCTTGATGGCCTCGATTTTTTCTACTTTACCGTTTGACGGAAGAAAATCAATACCGCCATTTTCAGCATTTTCGTGTGCCTGTTTGGAAGCCTTGTTTGCAGAGCAGACTCTGCCTTCGAAGTAGGTTGAGTACGGAAATTCTTCTGCACATCGGTTTTTCCATCCTACAAAAAGAAACGAATTTCAGAAATGAAGTTGCGTAGAAGCAAATATATAATAAGTTGGGGGTCTTCACGAAAGCATCTACTTTACTTTTTCTGATAGAGGTTAAGTTTGTGTACATCTTACCCTCCATAGACCTATGGGATATATTGGGTTCATTGGTTTGGTTAGAAGCAAATCTATAACAAGCTAGGGCTCTTCACGGAAACATTTGTTGTACCTTTTATGGTAGAGATTAGGTATGCGTACATCTTACCCTCCAGACCCCATACAATATATTGGGTTTATTTGGTTTGGTTAGAAGCAAATATATATAGACTTGGGATCATGTGAGACCAAGGGTTTTTCGTGAGACCCGTAAGACCAATTCTCAACCCTTGGATTAGATCTACAATCTGAACATTCAAAATCACAAAATTGCCATGGAACTTCTCAATAATCACAAAATTGCCACCGTGCAACTTTAGACCATTAAATCATTAGCTTATAAAGTTGATCAATGAACATAAAYTGGTCTTACGGGTCTCACGTGAACCCAACCCTCTCTCTCTCTCTCTCTCTCTCTCTCTCTCTCTCTATATATATATATATATAGGGTCAGGTTCAAAGGAAAACCGTAAAAAAATAAAAATAAGGAACATGCGGGTAAGTTGTAACCATTCACCTGGACGGTATGCACATGTGCATACAAATAACTAAAGTCGTTTCTTGGTTTTTATGCACGTGTGCATGTTCATGTGTATACCGGACAAATTGCTTACAAACAACTTGTATACACATGTGCATGCCATCCAGATGAATGATTACCAGGATGTTCCTCGGTTTTTCATTTTTGTGGTTTTCCCCTCAACATGGTCCTATATAATATATATGCGCCAAAAACCTAAGTAATTCACTACCAACATAAGTATATAAAATCATGAGGTGTTTGTTTCTTGTTTTCTTTCCTATTACTCCATTCCATCTAAAAGAAGAATCTAACTTGGAATTTATTACGGTTTTCACTATTGATTTGTAAAAATGATGGATGCAAAGATGCCAACTCCCATGTTATTTGGTACAATGATACCACATTTTATCTAAGGATGGACAGCTAAGGCCGCAACAGGAATGGACTGACCAGAAATGATGTGAAAGATTTTAATTTGACATGGGTAGTTTAGTAATTTACTTATTTTGTCCCATCACCATGATTTTGTTCCACCCACTTTGGCGGGACAAAAGAACTCTATTTTTGTCCCACTCAGTCATGTCCTGTCCCAGTCGAAGGCTGTTTTATTGGTTTTCCACCAAGTCCTGTATGGATAAAGCTATTTGGGTAGATTAATCTGTCTGTATAGCTGGGGAAGGTTTTTGTTTGGGAGGGTTTTCTCATAGATTGAAGGAACTTATTTTTTGATTGGAAATGACAGGTTTGGAAAAAACTTGCCTTTCTGCATATAACTCCCCCTAGAAGCTTATTGAATGACACTTTCTATATCATTAAGCCACTACCGAACAGTCATGTACAGCTGACCGAATAAGTTGTGATTCTTCTTAAGCTGCTAACAAACAAGCCTCAATTGTCGCACCAAATGTGAGACAAGTTTTTTGTTTTGTTGTGTCTCGTCCTCATCAAAAGCACCCTAAATGATTGAAAATTGAAGAAAAAGACGGTAAGGCTTACTCAGTGCAGCATCTCGGTCATCAAAAGTAGCCACCAAAATTTTGTGAACTGCAACACAGTCTTTCAGCTTCCATTCTTTCACAGATCTACGCAATCCGTTACTAGTCAGTAACAAAACAAACATTTAAGCAACCGAGAACATCAAGGGTAGAATTGGAAGTATGCAAGAAGGAAGACGAACACTTCAATTGATGTACTACCTCCGTCTCAAAATAAATGTCCATGATGAAAAAGGCACATAGTTATACCGTGTAATTATTACACTTCTTAATTAACTAAAGGACAGATTTACCCTTGATAATAGGATAAATGAATCTCTGTCTGATAATTAAGGGTAGAATTGGAAAGTATGCACTTACTTTTGGAAGTGGACACTAATTTTGGGACAAACTAAAATAGAAATTTGGACTCTTATTCTAGGAAAGGGGGGTTAATCAACAAAATTACAGATTTACCCTTACTAATAGAAGGAGAAATGAATTTCTCCATCTCATAATCAAGGGTAGAATTGAAAAGTGTGCACTTACTTTTGAAAGTGGACACTAATTTTGGAACAAATAAAATATTTGGACACTTATTTTGGGAGGGAGGTTAATTAACTAAATGACAGATTTACCCTTACTAACAGAAGAAGAAATGAATTTCTCCATCTCATAATTAAGGGTAGAATTGGAAAGTATGCTTACTTTTGAAAGTGGACACTAATTTTGGGACAACTAAAATAGTATTTGGACACTTACCTAGAAACGGCATTATTGAGCGATTCTTCAATCAATTTGATTGCCTCTGCCTTTTTATTTGGTTCTAAACAATAGATCATCTCGGCTGCCGCTGCTCTGTGCATCAAGGAATCTACAAAATCACAAGCATGGTGTCTTAAACGTGCACAGAGGATATAAATCGTGCACATATCACCAAGCATGTATCATAAGCGTAGAAAAGAGATGGATGACCTTTATGTTGTTCGAGGAAAACAGCATTTGCCTCCATCAGAGATTTACCATGGAGTTGACTACAAAAAAGAAAGATGAGCATTTAATAAGAAACGACTAGTAGAGATTGGCGAGCAGCCGAGCATTACTGCAAACACAAAATATAACATGAAATAACCTGAAAGTTGGTCGTTCTGCTTCCAATACACCAAAAACGAGTTTTTCAGCATCAGTCGTCGGAGTAGATCTTGATGCCACTTTATGGAAAAATCTTATCTGTGAAACCCACACTCATATTAATAAACTAATAGAACGCTTTATTTCAAGACTGTCCTAAAAAACTTGTTAGAACGTCCAAAAGCGTCCTATCAACTTATTGTAACACCTTTACATTGTTTGGTCTTGTAAACTTTTAAGTCCTACAAAGCAGTCTATAAGGACATTTAGACATAATTGGCGTTCAATAAATTCAATTTTGTTTTACTTTTTTAATGTAAAGCATTGATTTCATTTACTTATTTAGGTAGGAATGACGTACCAAGCAACGATGAGAGTCTGGGTTTTCAGCATCCAGTTGTACCAGGTGCTTCAAAGCCTTCATGAAATAGAAAAACAGTCTAAGGGTTAGATCTAAACAAGCCCCAAGGTACTATCCAATCCTAAAGTTATCACAAGCATTACATATATAAATACACACACACGAAGCCATGTTTACCAACAAAATTAACCCAGCAGGGTACAACGGAAAGGAGGTTGTAGAACACAAAAAAGAGGAAATTTTTAATCGAAGTGGAATCCAGAGACTACCACTTTCTGGGGTCTTCCAGCTGAACATACCACTGCAAGTAATAGTTTGCCTAACATAGTGAAATAATAAAAATGGAGCAAAGAAAGTTGTCGTCTAAATTCCCTGACAAAATTACCTGCAACGCAAGCAAGATCTTCTGCTTTCTCATATTTACTTCAAATGAAAGCAAATGTGTCTCCAAGTAATCAGATGAATGCTTCTGAAGCAGTTTCAGGTACTTTCCGGTTTCCATTAAAGGATCTTCAGTCTAGATCAAAGAGAAAATGTTACTCGGCATACTGACTAAAAAATTGTTTTCCAAGATGTTTGCATACACATATACAATATATATATATATATATATATAGAGAGAGAGAGAGAGAGAGAAAGGGAGGAAGGTTAAGGGGAAAACCCCAAAAAAGTAAAAACTGAGGAACACCCAGATAACCATTCATCTGGAGGGTATTCACATGCGCATCCAAGTAACTGAAGTTGTTTCTTGGTTTTTATGCATGTGTGCTTGCTATGCACATGTGCATACCGGACAAATTGCTTACAAATTATTTGTATGCACATACGCATACCTTACAAATGAACAGTTACAGTGTTCCTCGGTTTTTCATTTTCTTTGTGGTTTTCCCCTGAACCTAACCCTTTGTGTGTGTGTATGTATATACTAATAATACAAAACATAATTCTTTTACAACATTAACTATACAAGAAAAATGAATGCACTAAATAACAGAGTTTCAACTAAAGATAGACTCAAAGAGGAAAAACCTGCAGTAGTTTCTCTCCATTTGGATCTGGATCAACTGTCTTGACATTTCGTTTCCCATACTTGGAAACACCACTCACATTAGCTTCCTCGTTCTTCACTTCTGCCTCCTAAAGAAACATCAAAAATACATGTCATGCAGGGTTTTTTTTTTTTTGGGGGGGGGGGGGGGACCATCAAACGTAAATCTGTTGGGATGAAACTGAGTAAATCGGCATACTTTTTTTGCTCGCGCTTCAGCTTTTCTCTGCTTTTGCCTCATTTTCTTCTTTTGAGAAGCAGGCAATTTTGCTAGTTCATCATCTTCTTCGGTTGACGATTTCGGAGGAGAATCATACAGCTTAATGTAGCATCTGCATCACGCAATGGAGCACAAAATACCAATAGTCAGGTTAAGAAATTAAGGGTCAGGTTACGGTTTTCCATCCAGATAAATAGTTACCAGGGTGCTCCTCAGTTTTTCATTTTTTGGGGGGTTTTCCTCTGAACCTCCCTCAAGAAATTAAAATATCAAAAGGGACATCTAGCAAATTTTTCAAGAAAAGAAAACTTCTAGTCCTTTTTCCGTTAACAATAAAACTTACAGGATGGTTTAAAAATTGCCAAACTGTCAAAAGCCAACAAATAAATAATCACAGAAGCTTCACCTTATAGCTCCAGTTGCTGCCTTCCGAAAGTAAGCATGAGCATGAAGCCGATCTTGGAATCTTAACATTTCAATATAGGCACGTAGAGTCATTTTCCTTAAACAATAAGAATGGAAATCAAATTGGTCTTCGGTTATATCTGCATAATGCTTCTCAACAGCCAAGAATTTTTTCAAAGCACGTCCAAGGTCACCCTGGCGAAAATAACTGTCCCCCGAAGCAAGTTCATACCTTCAAACGGAGACATTTAAACATATTCAGTAGATATTATAGATATAGCGGTTTTTCACATACATTAGGCCTCTCAAGTCTGTAAAACAAAGACTTACCACATGCACTGCATGTCATGCAGGTTATTATGTTGATCACCATCTTTTGTGAACAACACAGCGGTCTTTTCAGCAAGTGGGACCTATCAAAAATCATATACCATGAACATATCAAGATTAGAAAAGAACAAAGACGAGAACCAAAATTCAAAATCAAGAATCATATATGTAACAACTCGTCCCACATAGATAGAAAATGGGATTGTGAGCTCCTTATAAGCCTCAAGTTGTGGGATACCAATAACTTCCACTGTGGTTTGAAATTGGCCTTGAAGTTATTGCCCAGTATGTTGCTTTGGGCTTTAAGGTATTACAAATGGTATCAGAGCCGATCCTTGAACCATCGGGATGGTGGGGCAAACCTCATCGGGTATGATGAGTCCTCAAGAGGGGGTGTTTGTAACACCTTAGGCAAATCCCACATCGCCGAACACAGGGAGGAAGATTCTGGGCAGGCCTAACGAGGACGTCTGAAGTGTAAGTGGGGGAGTTTGTAGCAATTCGTCCCAAATGGATAGAAACTGAGATTTGTGAGCTCCTTATAAGCCTCAAGTTATGGGCTACCAATAACTTCCACCATGGTTTTAAGTTATTTGAAGTTATTGGGCCAGTCTGTTGCTTTGGGCTTTGGGATGTTACAGTATACAAACATGTAACTTCAGTAAGAGAAGAACGAAACATATTTGAAGATTTGAACCTGATCAGCCTGCAACATTCTCTTAACACATTGACTATTTACATATCGATCTGCAAGATCCATGCACCTAGCTTCATCTGCCAAAGCAGCTGCTGCAGCAAAGTCCCCAGCATGTTTTAGTATCTTGCTCTGCGAAGGAAAAAAACCACTTCTTCAAGATCTAAAAGTAACCATCACAGTAGCTGAGGATTCACAGAAAAGATAATCTGCAATGTGTAGGAGCTAAAAACCATTTCAAGCGTCTACATGCATAAATATCTTTTGAAAGCAAAAGCAAAAGAATCAAAATATGGAAGCTTTTATGCAGCTCCACTAGATTGTGGAAATATGGAGCCCTCAGATCATTTTACGCTGTGTTCTCGAAACTTCTTTTACAAAAGGAAAAAAAGGGGGGAGGAAAGTAAAAGAACTCGTGTTCTTGGAACTTTTTTAGGAGAGAAAAGGAAGGAAAATAATGATAAGTTTCCTCCCAAATGTGGGAGGAAAAGGAAGGAAAGAAATTAAAACCCTTTAAAAAGATTATTAAAATTACAAAATTACCCAATCTTTCATATCAAAGGTTATATTGAAAGGGTAAATTAGTAAACACAACATCTTTCACTTCCTCTCTCTCCTCTTCAAGAACACGAAAAATTATTTTCTTTTTTTTTCTTTCCTTCCTTTTCCTTCACTTTCAAGAACACAAATAAAAAAATTGTTTTCCTTCCCTTCTTTTTCCTCCCTTTCTTTTCCTTCCATTTCTTTCTTCTCTCCAAATTCGAGAACACATACGCAAAAGGTTCTAATTCTTTACTACATGTTGCTATAAAATGGTTCAATAGCATTTGAGCAACTGTTGAAGTTACTTCCTTCTGATTCCAAGTCTATAAATCATGCAGAAAAGCTTGTAAAACACACATTAGATAATCTAAATGCTAGTAGATAATAGAAGATATATTTTCTGAAAAAGAAATACACAGATACGATTATCCTTGATAAACGAAGAGAAAAAAGGATGGTATAAGCAGACCTTAACAGAGTATAAATCAATAACAGTTGGAGTATGTTGCATAGCTTCATCGATTTTAGCAAGACCCATATCATACCGAGCCCGTCTATCATAATGCTGCAGAAGTCATCTCCATAAGAATGAGAATATGCAAATTAATTGGAACCTAAAACTTATGAATCAATAACCAACCTGAGCCAAATAAAACAAAGTCCACATAAGTGTGGAAGGTGGCTCTTTTCCTGATCTGGACATAACATGTAACACAAAGAATTAATGCTAACACGCAGGGAACAAAAAAGTAGAAACTTTATCGACCAGACACAACAGCATCCAGAAGATGGGATGCAATAAAGTTACAGGGGTTGTTTGGTTGGTTTTTCATTAAGTCTTGTATGGATAAAGCTGTTTGTATAGATTGAGAAGGTTTTTGTTTAGGAGGTTTTCATAGATGGAAGGTGTGTGTTTTCTAATTGAGAAGGGCAGGTTTGGAGAAAACTTGGTTTTCTGCACAACACTCCCCCTTAGGGGATGTTTGTTGGTTTTCCATTAAGTCCTATATGAATAAATGGATTAATCTGTCTGTATAGATTGAGAAGGTTTTTGTTTGGGAGAGTTTTTTTCATAGATGAAAGGAGCGTGTTTTTTAATTGGGAGGGACAGGTTTGGAAAAAACTTACCTTTCAGCATAAAGCTCTCCCCTAGAAGCTTACTGAATAAGCCACTTCCTATATCATTAAGCCACTACCAAACAGTTATGTATAGCTAAAGCTGGGAGTCCCATTAAGCTCATTAAGATGCTAACAAATAGGCCCCAAGTCCTAAGTTGTCTGTATAGATTGAGAATGTTTTTGTTTAGGAGGGTTTTTCATAGATGGAAGGTGTGCGTTTTTTAATTGAGAGGGGCAGGTTAAACTTGGCTTTCTGCATAAAACTACCCCTTAGAAGCTTACTGAATAAGCCACTTCCTACATCATTAAGCCACTACCAAACAGTCATGTATAGCTGACCAAATAAGATATGAGTCCCATTAATCTCATTAAGCTGCTAACCAGCAGGCCCATGGTTTCTGATGCAAGAGAAATTGCATGATACTGGAAAAGTGCTTAAAACACATTAATACAACACCTCGATCAGGGGCCAAAGTTGTTATATATGGGATAATACCGGTAAGGCAGGAAGATAATACCAATTAAATCAACATATGGGCTCAATTTGCAGATCATCATATTGACATTATAAAAAGGTTAAAGAGTAGATTAACATAATGCAATATTACCTTCCAGGGTATCCACCTGTCTTTTTAAGTGATTCCTCCAAGTCAAGGACCAACTTTTCAAGAATATCAGCCTAAGGACAAAGGTTAAGAGTCGGTCAAAATAATGCAAAAAAGCATCAAACAAGTCTACAATCTTCAATCAGTTAGTTTGCACAAACCTTGCCACTATGGTCATACAGAGGAGAAAGGTCAGAGAACAGTGACGGGACTCCCTGCAATTGCCATTAAAAGAAATATGATGTTGCACACGAAGAAAGATTAACAAAGGAATAAACACCAAAACAAGGAGTACCTTTGTTAGAAGAGGCCTAATGTAATTATCTGCTGCATCTCGAAACTTTTCAGCAACCAGAAAATCTAGCGGGATCCTCTAAAAAAGTGTTGTGATTTAGATAGAGGAATAAAGAGAGATAATCTAGTTACTTAGTTAGGTTTAAAGTTCACCACATAGCTAGAGAAAAACTTTAGGGAAACCTACATTCCACTGAGTTGAAGAGACCTTGCAGGAGTAAACTAATGAAATAAATCAGAGTGATTGACGGGAAACCCAGCTCATAAATATTAAATTTAAGGGGTTGTTTGGTTGGTTTTCCATTAAGTCCTGTACGGATAAAGCTATCTACATGGATTAATCTGTCTGTGCATAGATTGGGAAGATTTTTGATTAGAAGGGTTTTTTCACATATGGAAGGAGTGTGTTTTTTAATTGGGAGGGGAAGGTTTGGAGAAAACTTGGCTTTCTGCATAAAGCTCCCCCTAAAAGCTTACCAAATAAGCCACTTTATATATCATTAAGCCACTACCAAACAGTCATGTATAGCTGACCGAATAAGCTGCGAGTCCCATTAAGCCCATCAAGCTGCTAACAAACAAGCCCTGAGTTCACTACCTTCAACCACTTAATTTGACAATTAATACCTAGAATATCAACGTTAAGACTAAGCAATGACTAGTATTATTTGGAAAAAAAAAGGTATTTGTATCTAAAAAGTATAAATGTATGATGTATGCAAATGCAACAATTTCTCAAACAGCAGCCATCATCTGAGATGAATCTACAGGCTGTAAATGAACCATATTACAAGTACATCCCAGCTTCAGAAACAAACAAAGGGTATATCTAGACCAACAATGAGATATATCAGTATACCACACATGCACACACAAAACTTGTCACAGTGACCGCCCGATTTTTCCTCCAAATAGAATATATATCCAGACGGAAAAATTAGCATAGATCCCACCTAGGGATTCCTTCGAAGAGTAGAAATTTAACAAATTCCATTTTATCAATTAACGTAGTATATCCAATCTGAGACTTGATTCAAGAGTTCCAAAAGGAAATATTCTTTATAGCATTAAGTGAGAAACTGGCACAAAGATGGAGATTTAATCAGATTTAATCACCTTAACAGCAGACGACCAGGTGTATTGCTGCCCAAGAGATTGGTACAAAGCATCCAACTTATCTATTTCATCAGAGGAATATTGGCCAGTCTCCGAATACAACCCCACACACTTTTGCAATCCTTCATAGTATCTAAATAGAGGAAGATCGATTAATATTATATTTTATAAAGAGAATTCTACAAACTACATAGAACATTTCTATATAAAAAATACTACTTTCTTTGGGTGCCTATGTGTGTGAAAAATATAAATAACTGATTTCCACAACCATATTGAGTTAGTGAAGCCTTTGAAGAAAAGTTATTCCTGGTCATCTCACATAAGACATCACTTGGATCTTATATCATAATTCAGTAACTCCACAGTTTCTTGTATCCTAAGAATAAAAAATGACCAAAATACCTTCTTATAAAATGCACTAGAATTTTAGTTCTCAACCACAGCATAACTAGCATCATTGTTTGAATGATGCATGCATGTGCACATACAAGTACGTCTCGTGTGTTCATGTGCTTAAGAGAGAAGGTACATTTACATTATGAAATTCACGAAAAAAGAATGATATGTCTTGAGATGAAGAAAAGCATTTTTATTAGTTGAAGAAGTAAAATAAAAATAAGTTTCTTGATCATTCTAGATAAAATAGGTGGCAGAGAGGGTGAAGATTTGGATGAAAACTTAAAATAAATAGCATGCTTTACATACATGTAAAGTTTAACCTTTCCAACTTCTTCAGTTGTTACTGGATATAACAAAATATGCAATCACTCTACCAGTTAAGATCTAACAGGAAAGCAACACAACTTTATCATTAAGAAGTAATACAATTCAATGGGCATATATGACATGCCAAGCCCCCAACCCCTCTTAATTTATCTATGAATTTAATAAAGCAATTCTCATGGTTGAGCAGACCACGGTTTAAGACCAGACGCTGCATTAGTCATTGAATACGTCATAAGCTGAGTATTAAATTTAATACATCATTCAGACAATTCTTCTAGCTTCAGGCATACAAATGTAAATCTAATCTGATATTAGTACTCATTAAAGTATCATCAACAGACTGTTTTCATCTAACCTGTAGTTGTCAGGATTCATTGTAAGTAGCACCCTGTACAACTTTTCGCCTTCATCAAGGCAATTAAGCTTCAAAAGGAGAGAAACCTCCTCTTCCTTGTAGGATAATTTATCAACCTATTAAGAAAATTGGAATAGGTTATCAAATGAAGCCAAATGTTCTCTATCCTAAACATTATGCAAAGTAAATAGAAGATAAAACTTACAATCTTGAACTCTTTTCTGCGCAGCTCCTTAAGAGCTTTATCAAGAAAGCCACATTCCTCCAATAAAGATATCTGGAACAACCACATTGTGTAGGAAACAATCAAAACTGAGTGTTATTTGTATCATATGCATATCAAACCAAGAAAAAGTTTGACATCCCCAAAATCCTAGGAGTTCTTTTGCTAAATGAAGAACCGATGCAACAGGTTTGTGTGCATCCTACCCTCCCAAACCCTACTTAAGAATGGGAGATACCAAAAACTCCAGTACCAAAATTTTCCTTCATACCTAGTAATCTTTTACAGAAAGAACCACAATAACAAGTACAACAACAGCTTTTTCAGAGAGGGCGTATTAAAGACAAACTTCAAGGAGCATCTACTATAAGGTATAAAACAAAGCAAGGACTTAAAGAAAAGAAAGTTCCAGGGGTGGGAAAATAAGGGCCATGTGAACAATCAACAAATTATTCTATGTTTATGAGTTTACTAAATCTACTAACAATTGTGCCAACATATATAATGGAACTAAATCAACAAAAAGATTTCACCTAGATAGCATTATTACCTATTACAACTATTACCTTGTATAACAGCATTTCTCCATGCTCACAACGTTCGCTATCCGGAGGATAATCATCCTCGAGAGTCCCTTCATATGCTTCCAGAATATCAATAGCTTTTGATGCACTTGTAAAACAACATCCATAGAGAAGTTACAGACAGCCAAAAAAAGGGATGAAGTTAACTACCATAACCATTGATTTGCATGAACAAAGCAAAAGTTTACTGATGCTGGGGTATTAAGATATGGAGAAAAAATCAGCAATTAACTTCCCAAAAAATGTAGAGATAGCTGCATAGATCAAGTACTTCAACAAAAAATGGAAGTTGAACGTTAAAAACAATTGTCATGAAGAACGTATGTATCCCACATGGATATGTGATGTAAGCAAGCTCTATGGAAAACCAAGAGGAACTTCACACTCAGGCAGATATCATTGCATACAATCATCTAGCCAGCATAGGCTATTGACCTCGCATAACAATATACCATGCAGGTGACATCTCCATACCCTGTATCTATGTGCCAAAGCAAGCATGCATCAAGTATGACAATCAGATAATGGTATCTGACAGGCAAAAAAAGTAAAAATCTCCATAGCTAATAATGTCTACATACTTGTAGAGGACACAGGAGATGAATGGTCTTCCTTTTAGTCCCTGAAGCAAGCAGAGAGATTACTCAACTACTGATGATATTTAAAGAACGAACTTATAGATGTGAATCTATGCATATTCTTGTTGCATAGTTGGTTTATAATAAAATGCCTTTTGGAACACTGTACAGTGTGGAATACTAGTAGCACTGTCAAAAGTTCGAATAAAAATATACCAAGCCGTGTACGGAGCATTATGGGTGTAAGACAAGAAGGACATCTACATAACATTTCAAGTATAATCCTGAAATTTTCTGTAAGCAGGTCAAATGCTGTTGAGGTGGGAGTGAGGATGGGGACAAACACAGGGCATGGACCAAATATTCTACAGGCAACACGCAAGCAATGCTGAGCCTCACCTCTATGGTTAGTGTGAGTGTCTTTCAAGTTTCAACCAATCAACTAACCAACTCATACTTCACAAGCATACAACCTTTTTAACCAAAGAAGCCAGAATATTATGACCACTAATAAGCAAAAGCCAGTGTCCTTTTGTTTTCTGGAGGACAATGTTGATACAATAAATTTTCATATAATTCTGTGCATCCTTTTAACAACAATGATGGTACTGACTATGGCCTCATACAACGATAATAAAAATAAATAAATAAAGATGAGAAAAGAAACATTTGAATTACATTAATTTGAAAAAAGACAAAAGATCACAACTTACTTTGAGTTTAGGTGATGAGAAACTGCAAAACCAATCCAATTCATCCGATGATTAGGTTTTAGTGTCAGCAATTGTTGTCTAGTTTCAACAAAACCTGCCAAGTCACGCATTTGTGCCTATAATCGGATGGGAAAAAGCACCATTAGCTACCCAAAACAAAGAAAACAAGGGGACGAACTACCCTGTACACGATATAATGATATCTACCTGTAAAAGCGACAAGTCCCTAAGTATTTCGATGTTGTCAGGATCTATCCTCAGAGCATTCCTATAACATTTTATTGCCTCCCTGTACTCTCTGTCCGATCGGTAGAGAAGACCATAGACGTGCCAACAAACATGGCTTTTCAGGTCATTCTACAATTCAGTACGTTAATTAAAAATGTTAAATTGTACTGATGTAAAAAGTAATTTTAAATAAGAAAGCTTTAATGTATGAACTTTGAAAACCCAACCTTCAATCCTAGCCGTACAAGCTCATATGCTTCTTGCTTACGATCCATGCAGTTCAATGTTAATCCCTTCATTGAGAGAGTTTCTAGCAGCAAGAAAAGTATGACAGATAAGAACAATTTTACAAGTCAAAAGCATACGTCCAAAAGATAAAACAGACCGTCCACCCCACCCATCACATATATTGCATGATTTAGCAATTTTAATCATTTCTAATTGAAAGTGCACATATAAGCTGATAATTTTTTTCTTCTCATGTTTACAAGTATATGTAACTGTACTGGTATAAAAGACACATGCCTATTTACTCAAAAATAAGAACTCATCTCTTCACAAACCTCCATGATCTGGGAACTTCTTCAATATAGCATCCGCTGCCTTTAGCCCCTTTTTATACTGTTTTGTTTCATAAGATTTCTGCCAAAGAGACAATCAAGAGAACATGCATCATTTACTCAGTAAACAGCTCAATACAGAGACAATATTTCTGCCTTCAAAAGAATAGCAGCAGCATCAAAACAGTGCAATACTATATATATATATATATATATATATATATATAAGATTAATTGTCGTTAACCCTTGTGATAGGATCAAATATTATCTGGAAAAAAGATACCAAAATATATTTGCATCAACTAGAACTACAGAAGTGGGTTACTGAGCATAGCTTAAGAGTTAAAACCAAGGGATTGTTTGTTAAGGACCTAATGGAAATCAAAGCTTATTCGGTCAGCTATACATGATTGTTTGGTAAAGGGTTAATGATAAAGAAAGTGGCTTATTCATAAAGCTTCAAGGGGAGCTTTAAGCAGTAAGCCAAGTTTTCTCCAAACCTTCCCCTCCAAATAAAAAGCACATTCCTTCCATCTATCGAAAAAACCCTCCCAAGCAAAAAACCTCTCAATCTATAGAGTCAGATTAATCCACACAATCAGTTTTATCCATACAGAACTTGATCGAAAGCGAACCAAAAAGCCCCTAAAGTGCTTTGGAATCAATTTGGTTTTGTACTAGAGGAATCATCTATACAGGAAACAATTTTGTTGACTAATAACTTGCGAAGAGAGCAGATATTTTCATTGATCTACAGAAGATAAGAATGGTGCGTATTCAAGCTTCTATTTTTTGACGAACTTACTTTCTTCTTTTTACCATTTTAGCTACCATGCTAGAAGTAAAGCTTCTCGATGCAGAGGTCAAAAACATGACATTAGAACAGTATCAAAGGTAGGTTTACGCGAGTTGGATATATCAAATGAGTTGATGTCAGATACAAATACATGATGTTCTCAATGACATAATGGATATCCCAGAAACATTGGAGGTTCATCTCTTAATGTTATCTTTTGAGTTTTACTGCTTTATAGTCTCTTCTATGTCGTGTTTCACCTACTGGCAGCTAGTTTGAAAGAAAGGCTTGTTCTCAAATGGTGCACACCCACATTTTATACTATATGATGCATAAGATTTTGAGGTTTAGTAGGCTGCTGAAAGTCTGAAACCGCAGTTGTATTTTCAACATAGCTGCAAGTGACATCAACCTCAAGCTTGCATTGATAGTAAAGTACCAAAATTGTCCACAGTTCATTCAATGTGATAAACCAAAATCCATTACTAATAATAAAAGCAACATGCCGCCACTTCCCCGAGTACAAAGCTCGTCACGATTACACGAAAAATCATATGTTTACGTTTAATTCAAGAGACAAACTTTCTGATTACAATTGACGATCCAAAATCCTTACAATCCAAGACTAACAGTCAACAATATAGTTTCATTTAATCAAAACAATAATAACTAGGGTTTTAAACACTGTTGTAAAAATATTCCAAATTGGCAAACTGATTAAACTCGTTGAGATTGTATAGCTTACGACGATGAGCTTGAAGAGGTTGGCCTCTTTAGGAGGAAGCGAAGCGCCCATTGTTTGTGTTGCAAGTTAGACGATTTCTAGAGAGAGAGAGAGATTTGATAGTTTGAGGGTTTATAAGGCGACGTGTGATGTGAAAGAGAGAGGGATGAAAGAGGTGAGTGGTGGCGTTTATCTTCTGCAACCCTACTGAGAAAAGGTGCAAACTTATGCCGGGAGATTACGAGGGGTCTGATTGTTATTTTCATATCTTAAAGGATGTTTTTTGTAATTTACATGCCTTGATAGATATGTAATATGTTTGTTATTTTCATATCTTAAAGGATGTATTTGTGATTTTCATATCTTGAAGGATGTATTTGTGATTTTCATATCTTGAAGGATGTGTTTGTCATTTCTGTATCTTAAAGCATGTGTTTGCAAGATCAGTGACTAGGGCAACCTACATTGAAAGATACGGCAGCACAGACCACCGCTTCATGGTTCTGTCGTAAGCGAAAAAATGTATGTTTCTGAAGGGTGTTATCGTATTATTTTGTTGGGTGTCATCGTATAGTTTTTGAAACTGAAATGTTGAAACAAGACTTTGATTGTTTAGATGGTAAATGCTCATGCATTTTGTACAAAAGACCCAGGTTCGATTCTCATTGCTTTCAAGTCCTGGTCATGGATGGATCATCTAGGTCTCGCTGAGTGGCATGTATTTCCACGGTGCTCGTTTTTTCGATTATGAAGCATAACTTGATTTCGGGTAATCTATCATTAACAACTTATTTTGCTTGCATTGTCTTATTTGGTCTACGTACCGAAACCCTAAGAGAGTCGCTGACTCCAACTACCGTCCATATACGATCCCAGGCGCTACGACGCTGAAGTAACCCATGTCATACTCCATTTGGAATATGAGTTCTTCTACTTCAGAAAGAGGTTGGATTCCTTGTCCGACCATCCTATCCTCAAAGACAACCATTTCCAAATACGCCTGTCAGCGCAACTCCTTTGGGAACGGTATGAGCAGACAGGCGGATCCGTATAACGCGAGAGTCTCACGTACGGTTCCTTTGAGAAGGGTGAGGTCGAAAAGAACACCAATGGTAAAAGCACTATGCTTTTGTTGATGTTTAGCTTGAATTTTGTTTTTTCATATACCTCTTGTGTTTTAAAAAAAATATATAGTCAATACTCGAACATGGGTCTCTTCTATGTGGGGACAAGGAATCAACCAACCAACAAACGTATGTTAATATAGTAAAAAAATATATTAAAATGTTTTTTTATAGTCAAATTGTGTTACCACTTAAAAAAATAGGTATGCCTCTATCATAGACAGACCTATTCATACCCGATCAGGGTTTCGTACACCCACTCAACTAAATTTCGTAAGTAAAATTTGTTTGAGGTATGAAATGTGCATCCGGTAAACATTGAGTAATGCTCACGGATATTAGAAAATACAAGAAATATTAATAAAAAAATCTCTCATAATCAACCAAAAACTAAAAAAAAACCTCGAAATTATGAAATTGGTTGGCAACGTATCAATTGACTTTACGAGTCTTTGAGCCACTTAAAACGTACATTTATTCGACAAAAATTGACTTTATGAGTCTTTGCAAATTCTATTTTTAAGCATGTGTGAGTCGTGAAATGTGTTTGTGATTTATAGAGTAATTACAACTTTAGTCCCTACGGTGTGGGGATTATGTGGGTTTAGTCCTTGTAGTTTAGAAATTACAAATTTTTATTTGTGATTTGCATTTTGTTATGGATATCGTCCTTGAAGGTAACAGTTGTTAATTCTTTTGTTAAATACCTGCAATTTAATTAATTTACTTTCTTTATTGTTTTTAATGAAAACTATATGATACTACACCACAAGGGTGGTGCCTGATTGGTTTGAACTTGAGCTCCAAATGTCAAAAGTGCCTAGATATCACAGGTTCAAATCCAATAAGAAATAAAAATCCCATTGTGGATACGGAAGTTTAAATGCGGTGACCCTGAGCTATCCGCAAAACAGGTGGTCGTCAACTCGCATAGTGGGTTAGATATCTAGGTTAATCAGTGTTTAAATAATTCAATGAAAACAAAAAATTATAACACCCACTCATATGTGTACTTTTTCTTTTCTCAACACATCAACTTGCAAAAGAGATTAAAGTTACAAAATTGAGTAACCCATAATATAACAGTTTAAGAACACACTGGTTTGAAGCTTCGTCGAGCCTTTTCTCCAGTTAAGAAGGTAAACCAAAAATGTTGTCTTTCAACACATGCATCCCGCATTCCTCGACCAGGATCTACGAATTTTTGATCGAATTCTATGAATCTTCAGTCCAAACTCACATACAAAAACTTTATGGTACGCTATAAAACCAAATCCATGGTAACAATAATACATAGTGAAATGTTGAAACCTAAACAACACCCACTTAAGGGAACAATAAACACAGACGAATTACACGGTATTTAATAAGAACTATAATTAAAAATTTTAAAAATAACATAAATTGGCTGATGGTGAGATATGTAAACTGGAGAAAACCAAACACAATATAAAACGTTGCAAGTTGTTTGCCACGTCAACCACGACCATCGTCCCTCTTTTGTTTTTGGATAACATCGTATGCATATGGACTTAGGAACACACCATAATTATATTTATATCCACTTTTGGTGACAACGGTTTTATTGCATAAAGGAAAACTTAAATTGAGGCAGAGGGTGTTTTATCAAGGAGAATGGATGAGGATTCRAACAAGGTGGGATCCAAACAGAGCGAAAACCGATTAAACTCATACAGATGGGTCCGACAGACTGACATCTGCTAACTACGTCTTATCTCGTAGGTGCAAAGTCGCTCGGCCTAATGAACAAGCTAATTTATTTTTTGTTTTTTCCGTAAACACATTACGTATTTGTAAGTAAACGAGCATCCACACTTGTAAAGTATATTACATATGACCAAAATCTCCTCGCATGCTTAACATGTGGGGTCACTTGATAGAGCTTTTCAAATGGTCTTTACTCATTAAGCTCAAACGAAATATAAAGCAAGATGCAAACCATTGGATTTGGCAATTTGCAAAGCACAATTTATACATCTTAATTCTTAAAGGACAAATATGCAATTTCTATTTTTTAAAGGTGTGTGTTGTATTTTTTATGATTTGCAGTTTTGAGTCGTTGTGTATGCAAGGACTACCACCGTACTCCTGAGTAATTAAAGGATTATAAGCTGAAGCAACAAGAGTTAGTTTATACAAACCGAGCTTCCTGCGTCGAGCAAAATGATAACACAAGGTATCCAACACAAATCACAGTACATTGGATTTGCGACTCCAAGTGTATCAAAAAATCAGTGGCATGTCTGGCACTACATTGCACAATGATGACAAAGCTCCATAAGTTTTAGGACCGACCCATACACCTCCTGATAACCATCACACCATAACAAACTCTCATCATATCATACAAAAATCAAAAGAGACGTCGTGGACTAATCACACCGCCACGGGTAATGTCACGCCATTGGGGCCACAATGACATACTTGTAGTACTCTCTACAGGTGGTTAACTCGGTATTCCTATTTTCTAAACTAGTCTAACAAAAAAGGTTTTATGCATGCATGGATGAATATAAAACCAAAACAATATCGTATGTAACAATTTACCTGGTAAGCGCTAACCGTCGTCCTCACTTACCGGGTAAGACTTTTGGTTATTGCATTCGTTTTTATCAGGTAAGATTTTTTATTCTTTATCATATTCATCCGATAAGATAATGTCATTTGGTAAGCGCTTAACCGGGTAAGTGTTGAAGAAGAATGTAAATTTTTAAATCAATTTTAATTTTTGATACCGCAAATTTAAAGAAAATATATATTTATGTAGCAAATAGTTTATTATTATCGTTTTCTTTCTATTTTCCGGTTCCCGCCTGGTAGAGTTTACAAAATTTCTACCGTCTTCCCCTTTCATCGTCTTCTCTCTGGTTAGGGTTTCTGTCTGGAATGCAAAGATGAGTAAATCTATGGGATCCAATCTTGTGGATCCATTTCAAGGTCAATCTATCATGTGTCTAAGTGCTCGTACATTCAGAGATTTAACAAATGTTGAAAAATCGAAGGACCTCGAAGCAATTCACCAGCAAATGGTTTCAATGGTACATTTATCGCTTGTTCTCTACATTCTTTTTCAATTCTCACAACTTTTGAGGTATGTATTGATGTAAAATCGGTGCGTAGAAGTAGTATTATCTTGTAGCTTTTGTTCCTTATTTTCGATTTGTCAAAATTAGTTGCAGCGGAGTTAATATGCAGATGAGTATATGTGGTAATCGATTTGAGTTTATAACGAATTTTGTACAGATTTTCATCTGTGTGTTTATATATTTTTGGTTTTAAATATGTTTAGAAGCATGATTCAAGGTAAATATATTGTTTATATGGTGTTTAATGACACTGCTCAAGTATTGTAAAGCACATACGAAATACGTTTTGCCCTATGCTTTGACACGAAGAGAGCACAATCTATTGCACAAGCTCGACTTAAATTAAATATTAGAGGTTACATCATTAATGCATGCAGATTACTGATTGATAAAAATCTGATCTGGTCTGTTAATTGCTTTTAGGTATTAAGAAGCCCCTTCAAGGTTTTGGAGAAAGCAAAACTAGTTATAGATGGAAGTTCAGAGCTCCTGAACACCAAAGAGAACAATGCCAATGCAAATAACAAGGAAAACCTTCAAGAGCGAAGACCAGCTTTGACACGGAAACGTGCTCAATTCTCTTTGAAGCCAGATACAAGGTAAAGGTTACATATAGTATTGATTTCATGCTCTTATGGAAGTAGTTTAGTTGAAAATGTTAGTGTCTAGCTGACTTGCATAACTATTGACAGCCAACCTTCTACGACCCTGGAACCAAGCTTTCAAATCGACCAGCTGCAGAACCCAGACGATTTTTATGCCGCATATGAGAAGTTCGAAAGTAACATTTCTTGACTGATCTTTGTGTTTCGTCTTCTTACTTGATGCCGTACAAATCACAAAATCATGTTTTCTAGAACTCTTATACGAGCAGTCTTTAGGAAACAGCTTCTCTACCCCTCGGGGTAGAGATAAGGTTTGTGTACATCTTACCCTCTCCAGACTATATTATGTGTGGGACTCACCGGGTTTGTTTGGTTTGGTTTACTTGGCGCCATGCAAAATAATTTATGGGAATGCTGATATGCATTTTAGACACCAGAAAAGAAATGAAGAGGCAGAGAGGTGGTGAAGACCTAAATGAGGTCAAAATTTCCATGGATGCTAGACGCCGTCGTCCCGAAATATCACGGTAATTTTTCAGCGAACACACTTTTTTAAAAACTTATACCATTACATGGTTTTAACTCTCTGATTTCTCCAGGAGGAAAGTTAGCTACAAGCACCATGATTACTCCACAAACTCTGAAAGTGCTATGTTATCCTCCCAAGAGATATTGCAAGAGGATATAAGAAACCCACCTACTCAAGACTCGGAACAAGAATCTGTCATTCTTAATGACTCGCAGGATGAAAACTTAGCTGGTGAGTTGATGCTTATGAGAGATGAATATATCAGGGATACCACTTCAAAGCACCTTTTCAGTTGCTCATCTAATTGAGAAAGCAGACAATAACAAACAATTTTTTAGTCAAAAGTTATTTCAGTTGCATCAATAACTGGCTCTATTGGTTTCTTTTGCAGCTAAAATGGTGATTATTTTGTGTGTAATTTGATACCCTCTTTTAATCTGTTTAGTATGCCTCGTAACTTGTTGGATTGTTTTTTGAGCAGGACCTGTAACTAAGAAGGAGAACAGGCTCAACGAGCTCTTTGATGAACTAATATCCAGTGATATCCACAGATTAGACGGGAATGAGGCATTGTCCCTTCTGAAAGATCGTTTGAAGATCAAACCTGTTGATATAGACAATTTAGACTTACCTGATTTCCACGATGTTGGTAGATTTGATTTTGTTTCTCATGGAAAGAACTTGCTAAAAGACCAGAACAGATTATCTGGTATATGTACCCTGCCAGAGGGGTTAATAAGCAAAACACCTGGAAAGCAAAAGGAGCCTTCCACAAGCCCCCATCATCTTCTCAGTTCACCCACTCCACCTAGGCATCCGCTTTTGACAACATCAACATTTGGCAAACGTTCGCCGAACTCAATTTCAGTGATTGATCAATTGCCAGCCTGTGACATTGATTCATCTCCGATCACCAGGTCTCTTGAAATTACCGGTGGACAGTTGGATCATGGCAGCAAGGGCACTGAGTTTCCCGCTTCTGGCACATTCAACTTGTTGGCAAAAGACAAAGTTATGAGCAGTCCAGTTGTTGCAGTTTCACCTAAGATGTCAACAGGAGCTGCAGTGAATTCATCTCAAAAGTCCCCCCATAATAAAATGCATGAACCCTTTGGTACAAGACTCGCAGGAGCTATGATTGGCTTGGAAGATCATGATCAATGTGATATGACTGTAGACAAGGAAATGGATGCCGACACAGACACCCGTATTCAACCAAATGAAGGCAGTTCAACAGAAGGAAATGTAAGATTCCTGAATTTTGATAGAAATTGGTTCATTTTATATTTGGAAAAGTTTTCAAGTCTTGGCATTGCTGCTATGGAATACGAAACATGCAGGTTGAAGATATTGTGCAAAAAGCAGCATCTTCCACACAATCTAATTTTTATATGGAGGGTTATACTGATAATGTTCAGCTGCATATCATTGGAGACATCGAGGAGAATGTAAATATATCAACCTGCTTTACAATAGTTTTTGTAAGGATTCACAGAGTATGTGCTAAATGCCTCAGCTTTTGAATGCTAGGTTGAAGATGAGCACCAAAAAGCACGATCGTCCATGTCACCAGAAGTAAATACCGAGGTCTCCAAGGAAGAAAACTTGGAAAGAAACAGCTGCCAGCCTGGTAATTACGTAATCAGTAATCACAATGTTATCAGCTTTGAACCCTTCTCTTGCTAGTAGTTTTTTTCTTCTTTTCTATAAATCTGCAAGACTACAACCATATTCTATGCATCAAATGCCTGAATTACAAGGTATTGTGGTAGTGCTGAACTTATTATGGTATATTCACAAGTAATTTTTAATCATGCTCTAAATTCCTGTTGATCGATACTAATGTTGCCTCTATCAGTATGCTTTGCTTTTTATATTTTGGTATTGGTAGTTTCATCCATACCTTTTGGACATCAGACACTTGCTTCCATTTTCTGCATCCTCCCATAGTTGAGAGTGCCATATAGTGAATTCTTTTTGAGCTAGAATCGAGCACATAATTTCTCTAAGGTCAAGTGCAGCTGTAAAATGATTTATTTAATGATATAAATTTCACTGGTGCATAGAGTGAGCAGGGTGAGGTTGCCTAAAAGAAACTGTTGACCAGGTTCTTTTTCCCATATGAAGTATTTATTGATGTATTCATATAAAGAGTGACAAACAACAATTTTCATGATGTTATTAACGTGGCATGTTACCAACATCATCAGTTTATAGAAACATTATAGAAACACTACCATGTTCTTTTGGGCACATAACACCAATGTAGTTAAAATCCATCAGCTTAGTATACCCATTGGTTCCATGTTCTTTTGGACACAACCATGTATATTAAGGAGATTGTTGTTGTCTTGTTGATGCCTTTTCTAATATTAGCTAAAACTCTGGCATTATCTCACCGACACTGTCACACTGATGCTCTTCCCTTCCATATGACTTTAGTAGGTGTTTCTATATTGTTCTATGGGTAATTTTGATCAGTCCTGGAATATTGGTTTTATCACATAGTTTTTATGTTGAACTGAAGTTCTGATTGGTTTGAACTTGGCTCCAAAGGTCAAAAGTACCTGGAGGTCCAGGAACAAATCCAAGGAGGAATAAAAATTCCCTTGTGGCCATGGAGGTTCAAATGCAGTGACTCCGGGAAATCTGCAAAGCAGGTGGTCGCCCTGGGATTAGCCAGCTCGCATAGCGGGTTGGATATCCAGGTTAATAAAAAAAAAGTTCTGATTGAACCACATCACACTTGATTTTATTTTTATTTTAGCCCATTCTACTCATGTTCCCAATGAAACTTTAATAGCTGGAAATTAGTCCAATACTGCAATGCACATGAGGCTAAGGGGCTGTTTGGTTGGCTTTTTATTAAGTCCTGTATGGATAAAGCTGTTTATGTAGATTAATCTGTCTGTATAGATTGGGAAGGTTTTTTGTTTGGGAGGGTTTTTTCATTAATGGAAGCAACGTGTTTTTTAATCAGGAGGGGCATGTTTGGGAAAAACTTGGCTTTCTGCATAAAGCTGCCTTCTAAAAGCTTACTGAATAAGCCACTTTGTATATCATTAAGCCTGCCAAACAGCGATGTATAACTGACTGAATAAGTTGAGTCTGATTAAGTGCATTAAGCTGCTAACAGACGGTCCCTAAGTTTTTTTTTGTCATTTAAAGAGGAAAAAGTACTTATTGTGACTTTCAAAGATTACACCAGTATACCTCTGGGTGTCACGTGATAGAGGATTTCAACTGAATATGTGAACCTGGGTTGTTCTCTGGCAAGTTGGAGGATGCCCTATTTATGAACACTTTTTTTTTTTGGTTTATTAACTTTATATATATATATATATATATGTATGTATGTATGGAAGGGATTATGTGTGATATAATCAGCTGTTGCATTTCTGAGTTCTTTGTCTACTGGATATTAATTCCTTATTTGATTGTCTGGTTGTTTCAAGTCTCTTTGGTACCTTCACCTTCTGTTTTTCCATATATTTTTTTGGGGAAACTTTCTTTTTAATCCACACTTCTCACAAGCTGGGGTCTTCACAGAAACAGCCGCTCTATTCTTTGAGAGTATAGGTCAGGTATACGTACATCCCCACAACCTCACTTTCGGATAGGATATGTTGAGCTCGTTTGGTTTGGTTTGGATTGGTTTTCAAGTTGTATAATGAAACCCATATTTCTGTTGTTATTAAAAGGCTTTCTATTGTTTTCTTCTTTTCTTTTGGTTTACCAAAATCTCATTTTGGACATATAGATTTATGCTTGATTATATTTCCACATTAAGCAGGTATTAAATCTACAGAAGATAATGCAGCAATCACAACCTCTCAAATTTCAGATATTGATCCAGAAAACCAACATGAGGTCAGAAGTTTGTTAAATATGTCGTAGTTTCTATATTTTTGACAAATCCTACCTTGTAAATAATAATTCATAACTTAAATTCAGACCCTTGATGCCAATCTTTTTGGTATCACTACTAGTCTACTACAACCAAGAGCATGCCCGACACTATAGTTTCTCCAAAATAGGAAAGCAAAAGTTCAAATCTCCAAACAGATTTATTCAATGTTAATTATATCATTCAAATATTCCATAGATTTAATATCCCAACAAAATTTTCAAATAAATTTTATATGAAATGATCATGCATTTAACTTCCGACGAAGGATCATGTGAGAATAGGAATTAAGGTGAGAAGTGTAAGAAGGGATTTGGTCCCTTGATCACTTTTAATCTCAAACCAACCCGTAAATTGCGCTTTAGAAGGGAACTGATCCGGTGCTTCCCATTAGTGTTGATCTAGTGGAACTCTTCAATTAGGATTGATCCACGGGTGGATATCCCTTCTTTCCCTTCTCACCATAACTCTCATTCTCATTGGAACCCAACATATAAAACCATTTCTCTCTTCAACATTTGATTATGAAGAGTTCACCAAATTTGGAGATTCTTATGGCTCCTACATTTAACCATTTTTGGATCAACATTAATTACGAAGAATTCTCCAAACAGAAGTTTGTTCTAAAAATCCCAAAAAATTAGCCTTTTATAATTACATCGGAAACAATCCAGCAAAAGGGGGTCTACGAGTCAAAGACCTTCCAGCCTAGTGGTAAAGGCTTGGGCATGTCATAGTCATGAACCCGAGTTCGAGCCTTGGGAGGGGAGTGTTGGCGACATTTAAGTGGGGCCATGTTTAGCCTCCAAATTTGCCGGGGATTAGTCGGGCTTTGGCCCGGACACCCTTACAAAAAAAAAAAAAAAGGGGGTCTACGAACACGAAAAGGGAGGATGAAAACGAGTTGGTATGCTAATTCCTCTCAGCCCTTCCTGTGGGTTATTTTCTCAACGGATAAGTAATTCTAGGAATGGAATCTTTATCTGGAGAATTTTATTCTCTCTCCTACTTTTAACCATTTTGGAGGATCTGTCGAAGAAAAAAGGTTAAAAACTCGAAAATTTTAATTTTCTCTATTTTGAAGAATCTGTTGAAGATGCTCCAAAAAACTGAGACTTGTTGTGATTGAAATTTCAGCACCAGCCAAAGCCAACAATTAACAAAAAAAAGAAGACAAGCAGACGTTTGCCTGATCTTAGGAAGACGCGGCAAAGCCTTGCAGGTTTTTTATTCATACTTCTATCATAAATGTAGTACTTCCTCCGGTCCCAAAATAGATGTACACAATGAAAATGACACAGTTTTAGGAAATTGCAATTATTGCGCTGTTTCAATAACTAAATGACACTTTTACCCTTGATGATAATAGAGAGAGAGATACTTTCTCCATCTCAAAATTAAGGGTAAAATGGGAAAGTAAAAACTTACTTTTGAAAGTGGACACTTATTTTGGAACAAACTAAAATAGAAACGTGGACGGTTAATTTGGGACAGAGGGAGTATTTTTATTATTATCTCCATTTAGTATTTATTTACCATTGCATATTGGCAGATGCTGGCACATCTTGGACATCTGGTGTAAGACGGAGCCAAAGAGTTAGAAGTAGACCTCTTGAATATTGGAAGGGCGAACGATTCTTATATGGGAGAGTACATAACAGTAAGTATTTCGTTTCGTTACTTCGTTTCTGGTACACAAACACCCAATTATTAGTACTTGTTCCATGCCTAAAAATTGCCATATTTTCGCTTTACAAGTCAAACAAGTTGCTTTTGTATTTGAGACAACCTACACTAGTTTTTATACATAAATATCTGCTTGCATCGCCAGGTTGTTAGGATTGGTATATGTATGTATATATGTGGTTGGGCACCCTCTTCTGAGTTTGCCTTTGGGAGTGAGTTTTACCCAAACCCATTTATCGATGCCCGTGAGATTACATTGTTTGTTTTTGTTCCTTGCCGATTCATTTAGGGTGCGTTTAGTTTGGTGTGTGGCAAGAACTTATTGTCCCACATTTGGTGCCACATGACAAAATGTCCCACCAAAATAAAAAATCAGGATGGAACAATGTTAAATTACGAGTAAATTATGATTTTTTTTATCCCTATGGTTTAGAAAGTATGGTTTTCATCCCTATAGTTTGTAATTCATTGTTATTTTCGTCCTTATGATTTACAAATTTTTTGTTGTTTTGGTTCCTATGGTCTACACAATTCTTTACTGTTTTGATCCCTTACACTTAAAGGTAGGAATTAAACCCAAAGATCAAAATAGCAATAAATTGCAAACAATAAGGACAAAAATTGCAATCAGCGGTGAAAATCGAAACTATCATCAAACGATCAGGACAAAAATCTTAATTTACTCTTAAAATATCAAACTAAAACCCTAAAACTCTACAAAATTCTTTCACCTGTCTATCTATCTCATTCTAACCGACCACCCCTCTCTAGTCACATATGTGTACCAAATGTGCACCTTATGTGAGAATATGCTATTACTTTTAATTGGTTGGTTTAATCTTGATGCTAGTTTGACGATGTGATAAAATTCCTATAACTTTTGCAGGCTTGCCAACTGTAATAGGGCTGAAGTATATGCCAAGCAATAAGAACGGAAAGCCAGATTTCAAGGTGGAATCATTTGTCTCAAATGAGCATAAAGAACTCGTTGATTTGGTCGCTTTGCATTAACAACATACCATTCAACCATGTGTTGTATGGCTTTGCTTTATTTCTCTCTTTTTGGTTGTTGCATGTCAATCAAAATGCTTGTAATATCGGTTATCACCCATTACTGGATAAATTCTGAAAAGAAATCAGTTTTTTTTATTGTAGTAGTTAAATGTAGCCAGAGTTCAACAATGTTTTGCTACTTAGGGGGATTGGACATGCGAGAGGAAGGTAGACAGATGAAATAATTGTGTGAAATTTTAGGTTTTGAGTGTATTTGCTATGTAGGAGGGATTGGGCGGATAAGAGGAAGGTAGATTGCTGAAAGTAATTGTGTAAAGTTTTAGGTTTTGAGTGTGTTTGGTATGCATGGGTTAGGTTCCGATGAGGAGAGTTAAGGTGAGAAGCGTAGGAAATGACCTCCATCCTTGGATGCATTTAGAAGGAGATGCACTGGATCAATCTCCATATCAAGCGTGATTCATGGGTGAGTTTGAGATTAAAGGTGATCAAGGGTTTAGATTCTTTCTTATGCTTTTCATTTTAACTCTCTTCCTCACACGATCCTTCATCTGGTTTTGAGTGTGTTTTGTACACAAAAGGGATCAGACATATGAGGGTAAGATAGATATAATTTGTGAAGTTTTGGGTTTTGAGTGTGTTTCATATGCAAAAGGGATTGGACGGGTAAGAGTAAGGTAGATAAATGAAATAATTGTTTAAAGTTTTAGGTTTTGAGTGTGTTTTGTATGTAGAAGGGATTGAACAAATAAGAGTAAGGTAGATAGATGAAATAATTTCGTAAAGTTTTAGGTTTTTTTAATGTATTTGGCATGGAGAATAAATTCAGTTTTGACGTTTTGAGTGTGTTTGATATGCATAAGACAAGTGAAGGTAAAGTAGACAAACCAATCAATCTTGTAAAGTTTTAATTTATTTTTTGTTTCATTCAATAAAATCCATCTACACCCGAATGTGGAACAACAAAATTTTGTCAATTCCTACGTACCAAACACACTATTCACGTTTCCTATGTACCAAACACACCATTTATGTTCACAGGTGTTCATGGAATTAAAATTTTACTACTTGAAAAACGGCACCACAAATCTTTTATAGTTTTATCATTTTTATTAGCTGAAAATGAGGGCATAAAGTTTCATTTTATGATTGAATTCCGGTAAGAATGGAAGTTACAATGACGAGTAAGAAACCTTTAGATCAATCCCAATTGAAGAGAACATGATCCTACACACTAACGAGATACACGGTATCAATTCTCTTATAAAGCACAATTTATGGATGGACATGAGACTAAAAGTGATCAAGAGTCCAAATCCCTTATTACCTTATCATCTCAACTCTTATTCTCACACGATCCTTCGTCTAGCACGCAAATGGGGTATATAGAGTATGGATATAAAACAAAGAAAGTCTCCAAACACACTGCAAAATAGATGGCAGTAGTTACAACTCAATCCTCTCAAAGAAGTCATAAAAAATCAAATACACCATTTAGATACGAAACGGAAGGAAAGGAAAGGAAAGGAAAGGAAACAAACACCCGATAGGACAAAAGTTTTTGACTACTAGATTTTGACACAAAGCCACTGCACGATATCTCTTGTTTTCTTGTACGATTTTCCCAAATATAATTTTTCAGGAAGCCCGCCGACAACTTTCGCAAGCTTCACAAAAGAAAAAAGAAAAGAAACAAGCCACAATAAACCTGAAATCGAAAACAACCATCTCCGTCAATCCATAAAATATAAATTACCTTTATTTGTCCCAAGATAAGTGTCTACGTTTTTATTTTAGTTTCTAACCAATGTAAGTGTGCATTTATCAAATGTTTAAAGGGTAAGTGATTTCTGGCAAAAGTCACCACTCTCGCTTATTGGATAACATTTCGGCCATCAAAAATGGATTGTTGGTAAGAATTTATCACCCTCTTACTTGGTAAGATTCTTGGTTCTGCTATGCTCACCTAGTAAGGTAAGTTACCCGATAACATTTGGGAAACGGCCCCTAAGCGCCATTTTTAAAAAGGCAGTTTGATCCCAGATCTCTCAACATAACATGAATTATGGGGTCTAACACAAACGCTTATCGAGTAAGCGCTTTCCGGCAACAAGAACCACCACTGACCTTATGGATAACATTTTTGCCGATCAAAATGGATTGTGGGTAAGCGCTTTAGATTCTCGGTCCTTGCCATGCTTACCTGGTAAGCACTTTAGATTCTACTTCCCAACTTACCCCCTTAATTATAATGAGATGGAAAAAATTCATTACTTTCCATCTACTATTAAGGGTAAAATTGCCATTTAAATGATTAAAAAGTGTAATAATTACATATTTCTAAAACTATATGCTTTTTTTTAATCTTTATTGTGGACATTTATTTTGGGACGGTGGGAGACTTAAATTGGTATGTAGTGTCAGGTTTTTTTCACATACCTCGCATCCGAAAAAAGTCCTGCCACCTGTCAGGCTGCATTCTTTTTTACATCAAGGACACAGCATGAGCCAGGCGTTTCAAACACATACCTGTAGAATCAAAACATTAATACCAAGCTCTAGTAGAATCACCAACACTTGAAAATTGCATATAATAACCTCATTTTCCACATACATTTAGAAACAAAAGGATGAACTAAAAAAACCCAACTAAAGGAGCAAGTATATACCACCTGCACGTTGGGTTAGGGGGTATGGTGTATGTAAACCTGACTTTGACCTAAAAGGGTAGAGCAGATGTTCCGTGAAAACCCCTAGCTTGTGAACCGTGTGCAAAAGAGAAGTTAGCCAAAAAAAGGATATAGATAAAGATGGAAATTTTACCAGAAGGGGCGGCTACCCGCGGGCACCGACCCTAACAGATATAGTATGAGATTTGATGTAATGGGAGGAAGACGAAGCATCAGTGATTACAATATTATTGTATGATGCTCTCTGTTCCATACATACAATTGCAGTCTTTGGTTCAATTAGGGTCCGTTTACCAAATTCTTATGGGTAAGCACTTACCGACAAGAGTCACCAACCTGCTTACCTTATTGGGTAACATTTCCGGCCATCAAAATGAATTGTTGGTAAGCGCTTACCAAGTAAGAGTCTTCTCTCTCACAGCATAAGATTCTCAATCATTACCATGCTCACCCGATAACGTAAGTGTCCCTCGGTAAGTGCTTACCCAGTAAGAGTTTGGTAACATTCCCTTGGTCACTAATTATTCGCTCACCACAAGCACACTTACCATAGAACTCAATCACACCAGATAATACATCATAATGATGCAAATCCTTCTAAAAAATATCGCATCTATACATAATGGGCAGGGTGGCAAAAGTTTCCCAGGCTGAGCGTGGTTTTCCGGGTATTTCATGAAGAAAAAAAAGAACTTTCACATGACACTTCAAATCAACAAGTTTACTGGAAATAGTTACCCTTTAATCTCTTGATTAACTACATTTCCAAATCTTGTTCCCTTTCTCTTAATTACTTCTCCATTTCTCTAAATCTATTTAATTTCTATTATGTGCTCTTAGTACACATAATAAGAAGATGCAATATGGAAATAATTATTTCCTCCTATCTCTAAATTAATTACCTTTCTGAATCTTGTTCCCACTCTCTTAATTACTGCTCCATTTCTCTCTCTCTCTCTCTCTCTATCTACTCATTCCCAAATCTTTTATTAGCAAAGTAAATTAAAAAAAACGTTGTTGTTGTCCCAAGGAAAAGAACTTGGTGAGATATTGTTGTGGGGGGGGGGGGGGGGGGGAATAACAATTTCCACGTTAAATCTCCTTATCATGTGCCTTAAGGGCACATATACTAAGGATCGTTTGTGAATATGAGTTAAGGTATGTGTAAGAAGGGATTTGGACCCTCGAGCACTTTTAATCCCAAAACAACCCATGAATTGCGCCTTTAGAAGGGAATTGATATAGTGTATCTCATTAGTATTCACCTTCAATTAGGATTGATCCAAGAGTGGAGATCCCTTCTTACCCTTCTCACCGGAACCGAACCCAGGGCACATAATAGAAAAACCATAATAAAATTTTATGGCATAACAATTATGAAACCCAACTAGCCATAAGAAGCTCAAACCCCTGCTATTTAACACACTCATGTTCAATTTAATCAACAACATCGTGCGTGTAAGGACATTCAATCTCAGCTGAAACCATGAACCCATGATAGAAATAATTTAAAAACTGCCATTACCTTAAATAATTGGGAATACTGCAGCTGCTCAAAGTGCGCCACGAGTACACTGGAGTTCACAGATGGCCTAAGGCCTGCAGCACCACAAGTACCACTCAGAATTTCAGAACAAGGAACTGATCAGGAATTCAGTTGGAAAGTGATCTTTATCAGCTAATTTGAATAGGTTTGACCTATTTAATACTTCACTTATCAAACTTCATTTCAGTGTATCTGCACAGTCAGCAAAAGAGCTAAAATGAATCATTTCTGTACAAAATAAAAACCATACATAAAAGCCAATTTGAGGATCCAAAATTCAGACTTGCCTGCGAGCTTTATTTTGTCGCTGCCTCAACTCATCATTTGCAAGCTCTGCAAAATGAAATTAAATTCATAGTTGTATTATAAATTTAGTTAGATTAAGAAAGAGAACCAAGAATCCAAATTCAAATTATTTCATGATACCCAAATCTATTTGGTTGAGATAATGGCATACTATGCTTGCACTCTAATCAAAGAGAAAAAATTATTTGTTACAATATCAATATAACTTAAAATAGTTCAGTTTAAAAGTGCACACAGGCCTACGAGCTATCAAAATTAAGTTCCATAAACCAGCATTATGCCTTACCAGGCCTCTGAGAAGGCTTCACTTCACTGCCAGGTTTATTTGTATTACTGTCTTTGCTGCAAAGAAACCAAAAATAGGGTTTTTTAGTCAATGAAAAGCAAGAAAATATGTGATCATTTCAGTTATAACTTTGTCTTAGCTTTGTCTTAGCCCAGCGATATAAAGGTTACTGATAGAGCCCACATCCATGGAGGTCAAGGATTCAAACCTCACCAAAGATGAGTGTGTGAGTTTTGCCGTAAATATGATATACTTCAAAAAACATTGTTGTAGCAAGGGTAGATAACCTTCACATTCATGTTCCCCCGAGAAAGATGGAAGATGTCAAGTGTGAGAAATAACAACAGACCTTGTGGGAGCTAATGAAGACGTCTGCCCAGATGGCCGAGCATGATAAGCACCATCCATTGTGATATACGGGGAACAATATGTCGCCCCTAGAGCTCCAGCAGCACCCAAAGCTCCAGCAGCACCAGCCAACACAGGTAGCCTAGTATGACATGATTAACAATGTAGCTTAAGGGAGCAAAACAAAATCAGGAAGTAATAAGAGGAATATTTTAGCCCCACTGGTTTTATTTTTCAACAATCAAGGAAAGTAATGCAACATAAGTATCTTAGCCTTCCTTACAAGCTTATTCCTGAAAATAAGAGAATGGAGTATTCGACCATAGAAGGATGATAAATTGTTGATAGAAATGAAGATTTTTTCTCTTTTCCCTTTCCCATGTGGAGCCCTTGTTGATCATTCCAAAAAAAAAGTAACATGTTTCCTCAATTAATCTTTCATTTTCGATGCAAAATCCATGACCAGTATACACAGGAAGTGTGCCATGCAACAAAGATACATGACATTGAAAAGAGATCTCAAGAATTTCAACAAAATGAAAACTTCTAGATGTCCAGAAACAAAATTTCTTGGTTTAAACGTGAGCAAACCAGCAAACGTACCAAATGCCAAAAGCATAGTCTTAATAAATCAGTTGTTTATGTATGCTATCGACTGTATTAAAAGCAACAAAAAATATTATGGCCAAGAACAATCGGTAACTTAGCCAGGATTGGAGTTAACTAGAGGAAACCTATGAAAACAAAAGAAAAAATATATTGCTAAGAACAATCGGTAACTTAGCCAGGGTTGGAGTCACTAGGGGAAACCTATAAAAGATGACCAAAACTTTGGCAAACAGGATAAAGCTTATTGATAAACAGCAAAACATACAAGTATGTACAGTTGCACAAATTTAAATCTCAAAACACCATAAAAATGTAAAGTTATAGTACCATGTCATCTCTGAATTTCCCATCCCATTGGGTTGAGCAACATAGCCAGGGAATGCCATGCCAACAGCAGGAACTCCAAGACCACCAGGATGCTGGCCTGCAAATTGCATGACTACATGCCAAATCGACCAAAAACAGATTAAAGACCATGATTGCATGCTCCAAAAAAATTGACCAAGTAAACATCAGCTTAACACTGTTCCTGAATAAATGCTATCAAATAGTCCTTTACCTGGCAAAAATGTTGGAGCTCCAGGGAAATTTTGATCACCATGATTACCATTGAGGCTCCCAGAGGCTCCGATAAGCTGTGCCCCAGCATAAGAAAATGAGCTCATTCCGCTGCTCTGAATGCTTCCCTTCCCTTTTCCAACCAATGCTGTCTTTGAATCATTAGATTCTGCAGGAGATTCCATGTCTGTAGATTCAAGCAGATGTATGGAACCGGATGATTTTGGTGGGGAAGAAGCTCGAGATCCACTAGCAGATTGAGGCCCAAACTGCTGACCAGAAGGTTGGGGATTAGAATGAAGCTGGTTAGGAACAGGAGCTCGCTGAAAAGAATGAACTTGGTTTGGCGAAGAAACTCTATTTACTTGGTTATGAGGTGGCACTGGTTGGTAGGTCACTTGCCCAAAGGAAATTGGACCTCTCCCCTCAGCCCTTGTTTGAGAAGGTTGGGTAGAATTAATGAACGAGGGACCAGAAGCTGGCTGTGGCAAGTTGTTTACGGGTTTCCCAGCAAGGGACGTGACTGAGTCATCTATATAAAGCTTGTCCATGCCTAAAGAATCAGAAACATTTCTTCCACGTAGATTGTTGGACTGAGAAGCTGGATAATTCTCCCCCATAACAGGAGGTCGTGCGCCCCTATGAATTGGTCCAGTTTGAGCCTCCTTTTTCTGAGTCAAGTTGGTTTCTTTATTTGAAGAACCAGAAGGGTAAAATGGTGGAGAAGCAGAATTCAAATTTGATGCAACAACATTTTTCCTAACTGGCACTTGAGAAGATTCTGACACCGACATGGCTGCAGATGCTCTTCCTGAACTTGCATGGGAAGCTTTCTCCATTGACTTCGCAGGTCTAAAATATTTAGTAATCAATTACCGAACAAATCATACAAGTAATAGAAGAAAAACATAAAACATGATATTGTTGGATGGGATCACATATAGAGGGTCAGGTTCAGAGGAAAACCCCAAAAAAATAAAAAAACTGGTAACTATTCATTTGGACGGTATGCACATGCGCATACAAGTAATTTGCAAGCAATTTGTCCGGTATGCACATGTGCATAGCATGCTCATGTGCATAGCATGCACACATGCATAAAAACCAACCTAAAAGAAACTAATCAACCTTGAAATTTACTTTTGAACTCATTTTTTTAATCAATTTTAATAAACAGCTTCAGTTGCTTGTATGCGCATGTGCATACCGTCCAAATGAATAGTTACCAAGGTGTTCCTTGGTTTTTCACTTTTTTATGGGTTTTCTCCTGATCCTCCCTCTATATTTGTATATGTGCTATTATAAATATATCAATTAATAATAGCAGATATACATACACATTAAATATGAATTTGTGATCACATCAACAGATATTTCTACTCACTGTCTGCTTTGTCCAGGAGCCTCAAAACTGTTCTGTGTAGAAGGTTGATATCTTCTAGGGCCTCGACCTCTCACAGACTTGGGTGCATTAGTTTGATTGTTATTGTTGTATGCTTTAGGCCTGTTTCCTCGTACATATCCATGATCTTCTCCTCGGTTTCTACCACGAGCTCGATTACGACCCCTAGAAACCCTCCTACCCTGATAATAGGCGACATATTAGAACAAAACATTTTGAAGAGATAAGATAGCTTATGACACACATCCATCTTCAAAAGCAATAGTTCACCTCATCGTAATGTCTTTCCTGCATAGTCATTTCCTCAAACTTGTCATGCCCCCATTTTCTGTCATCTCTCAACTCCCACAGCTTCCTCCCGCCAAGAGTTCGCCTAAACATCGTTTAACAAAAGCTTACTATTATTTAGAGTATCATAAGCAAATGACATGAAAGAAAGGAATTGTCATACATAAAATCCAATTGGAGAGGAAAAGACTAGATAGAAAATAGAATCTACTTCTACAGCCTAAAATAAGACCCTAAAAAGTTAACTTGCAATTTTAATCTACAACACATAGGAAGGCACGTTTTGAGGTTTTGGATCTAGTTTTGCAGCACATACTAAAGAAAAACAATTTTCGTCAAGCAGGTACACCAACAAATAAATTTTGTTATGTCTAACAATATGCTAAATCTTGAATATTTTCTTCATGTTTATTAACTAATTTGAAGTCTCTCCTACCAAAGGTGCTGGAATTCTGGAAGTATCTAAACAAAAGGCGATTATAGCATAAAAAAATAGGAATTGTTTGTATAAAAGAAAAAGTAAATAAGACCATCTTAACTTTACATTGCTTAATGAGTTTGACAAAACTCTCGTTTATAGTGTTTATTCATTCACATCTTGAACTAACCATAATAAAAAGGGGAAAAAAAGAAGACTACAAGAAGCGTTGGAATTCCAGAAGTATCCAAGCAGAAGGCTACTATAGCATATGAAAGTAGGAATAGTTGGATAAAGAAAATAGTAAACACGCCCATCTTAACTTTGCCTTGCTTTGTTAATTTTGACCGAATTTCTCATTTGTAGTGTTTATTCATTCGCATCTTGAAGTAAGCACAATTAAAAGGGGAAAAAAGACAACAAATTGATGTCAAATGTTAATTTTATCATCAATCCTATCTTGGCTGGCTTGCACATATCATGGAAGTCAAAATTGTATGATTCGGCCCAGGGTACAAAAAATGTGACCCCCATTAGCTAATTGGATTCATGTCTCATTCATCATAGTATCAAAGGACCGCTGTATCAGCAAGTTGAACTGTAGCATAACGTACTGTAAAACTAAAACATACCATGGATTTTTACCGGATTTTTGTGGATTTAGTGTATCTTGGTATTTAATAAAGTTTTAATGAATGAATGGTATATTCTGCTCTAGTAATAAGAATGCTTACCTTTGAAGTGAATCTTGTGATTGATGCATGTATATTCTGCTCTGTTAATAAAAATGCTTACCTTTTGAAGTGCATATACAATTCCAATCGATTCAATAAATTAGAGTAACTCTTGATCCGATTTACAAACCCATAGCCATGATATGGCCATATGGGTATCCTATTTTGCGATTTCATTTAGATCTATATATCAATTGATTTCAAATTTTACTACTTCATCAATCCCCAACGAATAAGTCCACTATTCCACTTTTTGATTCTGAAAATTCAACATAATATTTTGTTTAACTAAAAAGTTGAAAAAAGCAACTCTAGTGATGGGACTCTAGAAAAAAATAATCTTATTTTGTTGCTTTTTCATAGCTTAGTGTAATTTTCAATTCATCAGCTTAAAATATGGCAACACTGATCAATTTCAGTGAAATAAGTAAACACATCTGCCACTTAAGGTCATCTATGAACTCCTTTTGGGGGACATATGGAGTATTGATTAACACATAAGTTAACAGGTAGATGGCAACTTAAAGGCAAATGGGCAATTTCAAATAAATATGAACGATGCTTGCAGAAAATAAAATAAAAAATAATAGCCACGAATGAAATAGATTCAAATACCCAAGGAGAGAATATTATTGTTTTCAACACAAGGGTAGCCAAGATGCAAATTCAATAAAAGGTGGGTAAGATTCATATTTTTCCCGTCAAATACCCTGGCAGAACATCTACTTAGGTGAATCAGCTTGTTAAGCTGTAATCAAGAGGGCATATCCAGACACCATTCTTCCACTAGATTGAAACTTAACATAAGAATTACTTCAGACGTTTCGTACTTCAATCAAGTGTGGGAACAATTAGAGATTATTCTCTATCAGCATCAAGTAACAAGCTATTCTCTTACTGTGTTGTTTCTCCCCATAGATCCAAGTGTTTCTGAACCTTACCCTATTGTAAAATCCCATTCCTACACTACTCGTTAGTCATTAGAGCCTTTCACAATTTCCAGGATCTCTAGCAATTTCCCTTGCAAATATTGATGCCCAATTTCACATAGATAACGACTAAAAAGAAGGTGGATTACAAGATCAAGTAACAATTCCCGTTACCGTTATAATTTAATAAAAAATGCTAGCAATTGACTACCATGAGAACAGAAACCACAAAACCTATATTAAAAAACTAAATTTCAGTATTCCCATAGTAACCAGCAATTCATGGTGAAAATACTCGGTCAAAATCTGTGCCATTGTAAAGGCACATCCCTTAGAAACTGATTAAACTAACAGGAAAAACCAAGGCTACCAACATTCTTCAAAGATCATTCCTTTCAATTATCACAATACAACCATACAAGCATAGAATCAAACTATCAACTACAAGGATCAAAAAAGTCAAATTCAAAATCACCTGTGTCTACCACCAGCACTGTCTCTGAACCGATCATCATGCATATAAAATGCTCCAGCTGTTGGCACTGCAAATGGCTCAGTCTCCTTCTTTTCCTCTTGTCCTCCTTCTCCATCTCCTTCTCCCACTCTTCCATTCACATTATCATCAAACTGATCACCATTTTCAGGCACATAAAACTCATCCCCATCCACATGATCATTCTCCCTTTTAACTCCCACAGAACTCCCCTCAATAACACCATCCAAATCCTCCCTCACCACCTGTCCCACCACATCTTGAACTTCACTACCACCACGTCCTTCTCCAAACTCTTCATCTTCAGCTTCCTCAAGCAGCTCTTCTTCCTCCTCGTCCACTAAATCATATTCATCATCATAGTCTGCCGCCGCACCCTGACCGTCAGATTCACAATCTGAAACCCTAGAATCAATCACCCTCACATCACCATCATCATCCTCATCCTCTTCCTCCTCGTCATCACTCGCTTCCCTCCTCCTTCGCATCTTCAGAGAAAGCTTCGCCTGCTCCGGATCACTCTCATACTCTTCTTCTTCACCCACATCCGCCATGTCAACTCCCAACAACCTCAAAAAGGAAAAACCCTAACCCCAATTAACTCCCCAGATCAAAACATCCAAAAATTCCACCCGAATATTTAGAAGAAACCGAAGGGGCAAAAGATTAAAAACAAGATTTGATGCGTTTTAGGGTTAATTGTATAAAAGAAGAAATCAAAAGTAACAAGTGTCCGGCTAGGGTGTAGAGTTGTAGGCAGAATATCTATATTTCTAGGGCACCTATTTGGGTGGGAAATTGGGAGTAGAAGATAAGGGGGCGGTAGATATATAGAAAGAACCCATAAAATGCTATAATTTACCCCTCAACTTTCCCAAAATTACAACATTACACCTTCACAAATCTCCAATTACCACCAAGAGTCAGCTTCATACGACAACAGTAACCAAATAAGAGAATAATAGAACGGTCGAATCACATGTGACGCCTGAAGCCATGGGCCACGTCACACCCACACCCTTGCATTGACCGTTAGAGTAAAATAACATATGATTTTGCATTTGGTTTGCCTGTTTTCGTGTTCTTTTACTTAAAGTTCAAGATTACAAGTAAATTGAACGTAATTACAACTTATTAAATCTCCATGTTTAAATTCGTATAACTAATCATGGATAAACATAATCAACTACGGGATAAACATCTCATTTTAAATATAAAAAATCTAAAATATAATTAAGATAATCACCGAGTTATACTTATAACATAATACTTAATTATTATTCCTATAAAAACTATATTATTAAACCAAAATAAATTACTTCGTTATTAAACCTAAATTAAATTATAATAAAAAAATTGAATTAAAAAAATTACATAAAAACGAGAATTTTTAAATAGTTAATTTGATAATAATATCGATTTTTTTTTTCTTCAAAATTTTATGAATAAAAACATTATCGTTTCTCATAATCACATAAAATCGTATTATATCGACATAGACGATAAATAAAACGAAATATTATCTCGATGCATCTCACTGCATTGTACAATTATTTTCATGACTCGTCCATATTACCACCTCTACATTGTACGCTTGTCCCTGAAGAATCAATAAATATTATTTATCTATACTATCTTATAAAACATTTGGCTAAAACTCTTAAAAACTCTTAAAAACTCTTAAAACTCTTAAAACTCTTAAACCCTTCCCATATCTGAATTCGTGTAACTAACTGCAGATAAACACAAATAAAAGATAGAATAAACATCTCATTTTAAATATAAAAAATTTAAAATATAATTAGTATAATCATTAAATTATAACAGAATACTTAATTATTATCTTTATAAAATTTATAATATTAAACCAAAAATAAATTGTTTTGTTATTAAGCTTAAATTAAATTATATAAAAAATATATTCTATATTATAAATCATTTGACAAAAACTCTTAAAAACCATTTTTATGCGTAAAATACTGTTTATTAATGTATATTACTTAAAAATCAAGAGTAGAAGTAAATTGTGCGTAGGTACAACTTAATAAAGCTTCATATCTTAATTCGTGTAACTAACTGCAGATAAACACAATCAAATACAGAATAAATATCTAAAATATAATTAGGATAATCATTGAGTTCTAACAAAATACTTAATTATTATATTTATAAAATGTTATATTATTAAACCAAAAATTAATTATTTTTCATTATTAAACTTAAATTAAATTATAATAAAAAAATAAATTAAAGAAATTATATAAAAAATTAAAACTTTTAAATAATTGATTTGACATTAACATTGATATATATTTTTCTAAATTTTTATGATATCTTCAAATTTATATTTTATTCAAAAATAAAATCATTTTTTTTAAACACATAATCTATACTATATGTACTATATTATAAAACATCTAATAAAAACTCTTAAAAACAATTTTTTATGCACGAAGTATTATTTATTGATGCATATTACTTAAAATTTAAGATTACAAGTAAATTATGCATAAGTACAACTTATTAAAACTCCATACTTGAATTCGTCTAACCAATTGCAGATGAACATAATCAAATATTGGATAAATATCTAATTTTAAATATAAAAAATCTAAAATATAATTATGATAATCATTGATAACTAACATAATTTATTAAGAAAATTACACCAAAACACAATAACTTTAAAAATATTAATTTAATACTGATGTCGATATTTTTTTACAAATTTTTATGATATTTTTAAATTTATATTTTATTCAAAAATAAAAATATTAACACTTTCTCAAAACCACATAAAACCAATGTTTACTTAAAATTCAAGATTACAATTAATTATGCAAAAGTACAACTTATCAAAGCTCGATTTTTGAATTCATATAACTAATTGCGGTTAAATGTAATCAAATAGAGGATAAATATCTTATTTTAAAATATAATTAGGATAATTATCGAGTTCTAACAAAATAATTAATTATTATCTTTATAAGAAAATTATATTATTAAATCAAATATAATTACTTCGTTATTGTACATAAATTAAATTATTATAAAAATTGAATTAAAAAATTACACAAAAATGAGAAATTTTAAATAGTTAATTTGATACGAATATCGATATATTTTTGTTATGGATAAAGTACTGTATATTGATGCATATTACTTAAAATTCAAGATTACAAGTAATTATGCATAAATACAACTTATTAAAGCTCGATGTTTGAATTCGTATAAATAATTGCGGATAAACATAATCAAATAGAGGATGAACATCACATTTTAAAATATAAAAAATCTAAAATATAATTAGAATAATTATCGAGTTCTAATAAAATAAATAATTATTATATTTATAAAAAAAATCTATTATTAAACCAAATATAAATTACTTCGTTATTGTACATAAATTAAATTATAAAAAAAAATTGAATTAAAAAATTACACAAAAAATGAGGAATTTCAAATAGTTAATTTGATACTAATATCGATATATTTTTGTCAATTTTTTATGATATCTTCAAACATATGTTTTATTCAAAAATAAAAACATCATCGCTTTCTCAAAATCATATAAAGTCATATTATAACATCGACTGAGATAAAGAATAAAATAAAATATTAAAATCACGATCTATCTCGCTGCATTGCGCGAGTACGCTTATAGTATTAATAAACCCCAATCTTGTTTATGAAAAAGTAATGTAATTTAAATTGATTTCTATTTTGGGTAACGTACTTTCAAACATTTCATTTTGGTACCTAAGATGTTAAGTTTCAAACATTTCATTTTGGTACCTAAGATGTTAAGTTTTAAACATTCAAGTACTCGGGTAACTGGTTGAAACATTAACCGTTTTCAATATCATCTTCATTGTTATGTTTGTTCTCAAAGAGCCAAAAGGTACGAGTTGTGCTGAGAGGGGGGATATGATTAAATCACATGTGATTTTGCAAAGAAATCACATACGTTTTGAGGAACATGACTAATACAAGGGTTTGTAGGCAACTTAGCTCATGACTTAGATTGCACGTGCATATGCGATTTTAATGTAAAATTATATATAAATTGATAGTTCACATGTTCTCTTATTTAGCGATTGTTCTCGATTAAACTTTTTATACACACACACATACATATATATAGGGTTGGGTTCACGTAAAACCAATCTGTTTTCGTGAGACTCGTAAGACCATTTTTTTACACTTGTAACTTCATAGCAAAATGTTGTGAAGGTAAAAAAAAGTCTAACCTTCAGAGCAAAAACACTGTGAAAGTTACCTTCACAGCATTTTGCTGTGAAATTTCAAGTGTAAAAAGGTGTCTTTATGATTTTCATGAAAACAAGCTGATCTTACGTGATCCCAAGTGTGTGTGTACACACACATACCTTCACGGTGTTTTTGCTATGAAGGTTTAAGTATAAAAAAGTGGTCTTACAGGTTTCACGAAACAAGCTGATCTCACATGATCCCATGTGTGTGTGTGTATATATATATATATATATATATATATATA